TTTTGATTTTCTTTCAGGTTTTGGGATATTTGCATATACATGAAATATCTTTGAGATGAGATGCAAGTCTAAATAAAAAAAATTCTGACTGATGGTAGCTTTATGCACACTATTTTTAGCAATTTTGTCCATGAAATAAAGTTTGTGAATATTGAATAGTCAGAAAACAAATGTGTCACTGTGTTAGCCATCCATGTGGACCATTTTGGATTTTCAATATTCCGAATAAGGGATGCTCAATTTCTATTTGGATGAGAGATCATACAGACCCCACCCACATGGCATCTCTCATCCCAAACAGGTTATACAGATTGATTATCTCTTGTATGAAATGCTTTGAAGCAGAAGTGTTCCATATTTTGTTTTTTCACTTCCAGTCTTAATCATTTCAGATAAGAGATATCTGCAGTTATCTCTGAACATGTGCTTCTAAGAACTTCCGCTTAAAAGCAGTTCTTTCTCCCCGCTTAGTGTAGTTAACACAGCACAGTTCTCATTGTTTTTCTCCCCTCATTCCAGCCCCAATGTAATTGCTGGTAAGGCCACATTTTTCAGTTACGTGCTTAGTGGTAGTTCACCTATTCTTCTGTTTCCAAGATGGAGGAAAAAAGGTAAGAAAGTAAAACTGGACTGGTACTATTGGATTGGAAGAAACATGCCTCTGACTCTTCCTTCATGCCACTCTAGAAATTGTTGAACTGAAACTTCCATCAACAGCATTGCCAGTCATGGTGGACAATAGGAGCTGCAGTCCAGTAAAGGCAAACCTCCTCTGAACAAATCTTGCCAAATCTTGTGATAGATGGGTTGCCATAAATGAGACATGACTTGAAGGCACACAACAGCAGCAACTTTGTGGGCAGCTAAGAAGGTTTATAGATATCCCACAGTGGCAAGGCCTTGTGTTCAAAATTCCAGCACTATCACTATCAGCATCTTTGGTAAATATCCTTCTAAATTATGTTGGATTGCATCTGCCATCATTCCTCAAGGCCACTTTATTACTTATGGTCTAAATCAGTGGTTCTCAACCTGGGGTCCCCAGATGTTTTTGGCCTCCAAGTCCCAGAAATCCTAACAGCTGGTAAACTGGCTAGGATTTCTGGGAGTTGTAGGCCAAAAACATCTGGGGACCCCAGGTTGAGAACCATTGGTCTAAATGAAGGGAAAACCATGTGGCCACTACATGTTCTTGGACTACATGTTCCAGCATTTTTCACTTGAGTATGCTGACTAGGGCTGCTAGACTTACAGTCTGAAAACATTAGAAGAGCCACACAATTCCAAACCTTTGCAGTGAATATAAAATTAATAACTACATCACATTCATTTCAATGTAGTTTAGTTAGAACTAATGTAAGATTATCACAATGTATTTGGAATTCATAGCTGAGAGTTACTACTTCTCTTGTGAATATTTTAAACTTGAATAGTTGGTATCACATTATATTTTAAATTTCATCAATGTGCCAGATAATTGAGGATGTGTTCACACTCTAGAATGAATTCAGTTTGACACCGTTTAAGCTGCCATGGCTCAATGCTATGGAATCATGGAAGTTGTAATTTTACAATTTAATTTCTCTGCCAGAGTGCTATAATCTCGGCAAACTACAAATCCCAGGATTCTATTACATCGACACAGTGCTGTTAAACTGAATTAATTCTACAATGTGGATGCACCCTGACTTGCTTTTGAGAAAGCATACTTCTCCAGATGAGCTGCCAAATACAGTGTTTTATATGAATGTAAAAGTGACAAATTAAGCATTCTTAAGTAAGGAAATAAGTATTGTATATACCAGTATTTTACAATGTAATTCAATTTTCCATCATGTCAAAACTTTTGGGGAGATCTACATCTCTTGAAATCTTGTGTGTGAGAGAACCACATATTTAACAGTAAAGGCATAACAATATGCATATGTATCATCTTGATACTTTGAAATCAACATGTATCATTTGGGACAAATACATCTCAATCAAAAATCTTTCATACTTATTTTGTAGATGGTGCTCTAACACTGAATAGAGAGAACAATAACCCTATCCAACAAGAACTCATACGTGTAGAAGTTGTTTTCTGTTGTCGTTAAAAGACACACACTTTCAGCGCCACATGAGGGATCATGAGCAAAATGACAAGGTATGTATCTCAGTAACTTTGTGACAGAATAATTACAGTAGAAGATTTGCCCAAATCTCTTGTTCATTTCCATATGTATCAAATTTCAGAATTTGCTTGGGAAATTATATTTTGAGAAGGTTGTAATACATATATTTATCTTCTGTCTCTGGCCTCATGTCTCCGTAAAATAGTGGATAGCTCCTATTTTGTGTGTATATCCATGTTTCCAACCCAATATTCATTAGTTATACCTTGCATGATTCACTGCATATATACATGTATTGATGAGACTATGGAACACTACTGTGAAAGCTAAAACATTGTTCAGAAAATGTTGTCGACTTTGGAAATAAATTCATTGTTTATAGAACAGTATTGTAGTCCTACAAATGTAATAAGTAAGTAAAATCTGTATTGTAATTAAAATTTGGAATTATTGGATGGGAACAATATTTTAGAAGGAAACATTCCAGGTTTGCCATTCTGTCTTAAAGCCAAAATTTGTCAATCACAGTTCCAATTCCAGAAATACCCAAGAACAGTGCATTGGCAGAAAAGCTTCATATGATAGAGCAAAGAATTTCCCTTCTCATTGGAAGTGTTAAACCAGTCACCTGTTTTGTTTTAGCCTCATCGATGTGACCAGTGTCCAATGTCATTTAATGTTGAATTCAACCTCACACTGCATAAATGCACCCACAATGGAGAAGATCCTACTTGTCCTGTATGCAACAAAAAATTTTCCAGAGTGGCAAGTCTTAAAGCCCATATTATGCTTCATGAAAAGGAAGAGGTAATTGTATTTAATTTTAAATAACCTATAGGTCATATAGGTTTGAAGAGATTGTTTTTCCAGTGTTTTCAGATTCTTTCTTCAGTTCTGTGAAAAGATTGTTTGCATGAAAATGAAAGTTTGACAGTTGGGATGGGGTGGGGGCTGCTCCTCCTTGTGAAGACACATGTAATTCTCTCTTGTTATTCTCTCCCCCCCCCCATTTTAAAGAGTGGTAGAATAAATATGTTACTCATTAGAATACATGTTATGCATGTTTGAAATTTGCATCAGAATAGGAAGCGACCCCAAGTGTTTGCTCTGGCCCTAAAAGCAGGTGAGCTCTGGAGATTCAGAGAAGCATCCATAACTTTTTAAAACAGTATAAGATCATATTAAGGCATCATGTGGACATTATGAAGTTCATTCACAAATGAACCAATTTATTTGGCCTATCTAAATGAACCCTAATTAAGCCAATAATTGTATTTTTGTAGAAAACAAAGCAAGTCATAATTTAGTATTATGAAGTAGCACCAGATTATGAAATACTACATTCACTATATCCAATACAGAGAGCTATTTGGATTCAGACAGGTTTAAGATATGCCCATAAGTATGGCTTTTATATTGGTATTTCTTGCTATATTTAAAAAGGCATATGTCCATGCCTTTATACATAAAAATTAAATACATTTACTGCAGTGGCAGTAAAGAATCAAACAACTTTCTGTTCTGTTCACAGAATCTTATCTGTTCAGAATGTGGTGATGAATTTACTTTGCATAGCCAGTTGGTGCTGCATATGGAAGAACACCGTCAAGAGTTGTCTGGAAGCAAAACCCATACCTGTAAAACCTGTAAGAAAGAGGTTGAAACTTCGTCCCAGCTAAGGGAGCATATGAAAACACATTACAAAATAAGGTGAGGATTTCGGTAGATTTAAATATTCACACAAGTGGGTTGAGAGCTCTGAAAAATGCTTGCCATTTTCAAAAACATATTGGGATAATTTTAAACAGGTATGAGCAAATTTAGATTTCACACTTAAATTGGGTAATGTTATTATGTCACATAGTCTTCTGCCTTGGCAGAGTTCTTGGCAATCATCACAATTAAGATTAAAGTTGGCATGATTATATGAAGATTCTTCTCCATTTACTCATGTGACTTTCTGTAATGTTGGTTGAATTATATCTGTCTCAAGCAATTTGCTTTTCAAATAGTTGGTTTGGGGTTTCCACTGAAGTCAGTTTAACGGTAAACTCAAGAAAGAAAGTTTCCAGCACAAGTCTATTTTATTTCAGATATGGTACGTACAACACATGTTGAGACAGCATTCCAGTTTGTGTGATTGAGGTTCAGCATAAGTCCCTTTTCTTGATTCACTTTGCATGTCTGCCTGAGGTTCAGCATAAGTCCCTTCTCTAGTAGTAATACCCTTGAAACAGATAATAGCAATGCTGAATCCATATACCCAATATCTTGTTTCATGTACTCTATCTTCAACTTATAGTTTCTTCTTCTGTGTGTATGAAAATTGGCTCAGAGTCCATTTTATACTTCCATGAAGTTTTTCTGTGTCAGCATTTCTGTCTTGAGCTGAATCACACCCCATGCATTTCAGCAGAAGCTGCATCTTTATTAAAGACATAGTTTTGATTCATCATATGAATTTTAATTTCCTAATCTTCTGATCTCTTGATTCACTTTGCATATTTTTTTTCATACACATCTGTAGCAAGTGTTGATGTAATTCTCTAGTGAGAAAGAAGGGAGAATGTTTCTTTTAAGTTGATGTCTACCATCTGGAATTTACATCGACATTTGATTAAATTTGTGCATTTAAAAGTCTACTCCTTGATTAGTTAGGAATCCTTTCTAATTGATGAGAATTTTGGTTTTTTACTGCTCATATTTCAATCCACATAATCCCCAGCGGCACAGTGGGTTAAACCCTTGTGCCAGTAGGACTGCTGACAAAAAGGTCGGCGGTTCAAATCCAGGGAGTGGGGTGAGCTCCCACCTGTCAGCTCCAACTTTGCATGGGGGAACATGGAAAAAACCTCCCACAGGATGGTAAAACATCTGAGCATCCCCTGGGCAACAGATAGCCAATTCTCATATACCAGAAGCGACTTGCAGTTTCTCAAGTCACTCCTGCTTTCTGCCTTTCTGATGTCCTATGTCTGCACTGTTGAGTGCATTATGTTTGAGGACAAATCCATTTTTTTAATGTGTATCGTGAAGCCCCCAGTGGCACAGTGGGTTAAAGCAGTAAGCTGCTGAACTTGCTGACCAAAAGGTTGCAGGTTCGAATCTGGGGAGCGGCGTGAGCTCCTGCTGTTAGCCCCAGTCTCTGCCAACCTAGCAGTTTGAAAAAATGCAAATGTGAGTAGATCAATAGGTACCACTCCGGCAGGAAGGTAATGGCGCTCCATGCAGTCATGCTGGCCACATTACCTTGGAGGTGTCTATGGGCAATGCTGGCTTTTTGGCTTAGAAATGGGGATAAGCACCAAACCCCAGAGTCAGTCATGACTGGACTTAATGTCAGGGGAAAACCTTTTCCTTTTACCTACCTTCAAAATTGAGGTGCACATTACATTTGATGACTCATTATACTCAAGTAAATATGGGTATTTCTATCTGCAGTTCTTGATAAATCCAAAAACTATTTAAGATAATATACATTATATGAGGTGATGACTGAAAACCGAAATTTGTAGTAACATTTCAATGTTTCATATGTATCCACAGGGTATCAAATACAAGGTCATACAACAGAAATATTGACAGAAGTGGGTTTACATATTCTTGTCCACATTGCGGAAAGACTTTTCAGAAACCTAGCCAATTAACACGACACGTACGAATACACACAGGTAAAATGAATAAACCCAAAGACAGTTTGCTGGTGCTATGCCAGTCTTAGGAGTTTTATACTGGGATTTCAGGTTGCAATGATATACTACAATGTCATACTAGGAGCTAATACTTTCATTTTGAATATCCGAATATATTGTTTTTGCTAGCTGTGATAGAAGTCATTCAGTAATATCTAGGACAGAGCTTTCCAAATTGTGTGTTGTGACATTCTAGTATGTTGACTGCAGTGTCTAGATGTGTCATGCAAAGAAAAGAAAAACTTCTCAGTTTATGTAATATAAGCAATGAGTCGCCTGTTTGGGCTGAAAAATGCGGTATAGAAATAAAGCAAATAAATAAATAAATAAATATTTAAAATGAATAAATGAAGCTTTTATTAGATATGCTGTATCCATTATTACATTTCATTATTACAATTTATGCATGTGCCTGTATCCCTTCTAAGGGGTTAGTTTAACCTTGTTTGCTAGTAAAATTGAACTACTGTATCGCCAAATGATGCATGTCTAGAAAGTGTGACAGTGACATGAAATGTTTGGAAAGTTCTGGTCTAGAAAGTAGAAACATTTTCTTTGTATGTGTGTGTCAGTGTGTGTATGAGCTCAATTGTAATCTCTAAAAAATATTCCACATAGTCTCTTGTTGATACTCAAAATGTGTTGCATTTAGTCTATTGTGGTCTTCTAGAAAATGAGTGGCTTAATTGTGACAGCTCTATATAAATTGCTGAAATTTAATGAATCACAAAACACATAGCTTTGTAATATAAAATATATCAGTGAAATTCAAAACCTTAATACCTTAATAACTTTTCTCAATTTTGCACCCCAACACCAATTAAATATGTTTTTATAGAGAAAAAAAGGGTTTCTATATTGGCTCTTACTATAAAGAACTTTTCTTTGTGTTCAAACTTTTTAGGCGAAAGGCCATTTAAATGTAGTGAATGTGGAAAAGCATTTAATCAGAAGGGAGCTTTACAAACCCATATGATTAAACACACTGGTGAAAAACCCCATGCCTGTGCCTTTTGCCCCGCAGCCTTTTCACAGAAAGGCAATCTTCAGTCACATGTTCAGAGAGTACATTCAGAAGTAAGTAAAGACTTCATTTCTGGGACAACATATTTTCTGTCAATAAGTATTTCCACATCTTGTGAATAATTCATATTATGGTCTAATGACAGATGGGATAAAGGCTATTTTCTTGGGGAAATCAAACAAATCTTATACAGCAATTTCATAGTTGGAATAAAGGGACTTTTTGTCTGAATTAAGTTTTGGTTAGTTTGTCTTTATCCATTCTATTACTGTCTATAGTGGGTAATTTAAAACCAGAACAGCCTTCTTGGATTGAAGCAGAAGGGAGAAATAAGACTTGAGTGTGAGCAATGTACTGACAGTTTCTCATTTTCTCTTGTATTGTGGTAGTGTGAAATGAGGAAGGACCACCGTGGGAAGTCTGAATTGCAAACTATAATCAAGGGTTTGATGAATGGCCCGATTTTATAATTCTATAAGCAGCTTGAAAAATGAGTTATTTCTGATTTGGGAGATGTAGCTTGCCTTATTTTCTGAGCTAGTTTGACATGAACTGGGGTAAAGCACTCACTACTACTACTTAAATATAGAAAGTTTCATAAAGTCCTAGAATTATAGAGCTGAAATAGACACAGGCCCCTTCTACGCTATCATATAATCCAGGTTATCAAAGCAGATAATCCACACTATCTGCTTTGAATTGGATTATATGAGTCTACACTGCCATATAATCTAGTTCAAAACAGATAATCTGGATTTTATATGACAGTGTAGAAGGGGCTGAAAAGGACTGCCCAGTCCAGTATATAGTCAAAAGAGTCCCTACCGATGTTTATGGTCATATTTGCATTTGTGATGTACCTCTTTTTGTATATCATACCATTATGGTCCCTAGGGGCACCAGCTCAGTAGCTTAGCATTTTTCTATATGTTTTGTTCTTAATAACAGCATTCTAATTTATTTAGATCCCGTTTTTGAACAAAAAATACCCCTTTGTTAAGACCTTTTTGCCTTTGCAATTTTGGCTCTTTGGCTGCAAAATAAAATTGTGTAATTAAGTTGGTTTTGAATGCAATGTTATAGATTTAAAATACAAAGTATTAAAACTGAACATTTCTCTCTTGTTCTTAAAGGTGAAGAATGGTCCTACATATAACTGTACAGAGTGCAGTTGCATCTTCAAAAGCTTAGGCAGCTTAAATACTCATATCAGCAAGATGCATATGAGTAGCACACAGAACATCGCAAGCTCTGCCACAGAAACATCAACGGTAACGTTTTTCACTCTTATTTTTTTCTTCGAGGAAATTGGTGTATTGTTGTTTTCTTGTATATTGTTTCTCCCCCCACTTTCCCTGTGAGAGAGATTGAAATTGATATTGATATTGAGACCTACAATCTCTACTTTATCTTGTTGTGTACTGTACGCCTTTCTGAATTATGCCGTTCCTAAGGTGGACTTATCACAGGGTTTCCTGGCAAGATTTATTCAGCTGGGATTTACTTTTGCCTTCCTCTGAGAAAGTGATTTTCCCAAGGAGGGTTTACATGTCCAATAAGAGATTCTAACCTTAGCCTCCAGAGTCACAGTTCAAGGCTCAAATCAGTATGCCATGGTGGCTCAATCTATTTTAACTTGGTAGAGCAAAACTCACTATCCATTTATTTCCTCAGTCCTGTTGATATGATTGACTTGATGAGAACTTTCTTTTCCTTGCCTCTTTTCCTTTTATTTTGATCATACCTTGCAAAATACATCTCTCTCATCAGATCCCATATTTTTAAAAGATGCTCTGGCACCATCAGTGTCTGGTCTGTAATGAGATGAGGATGGATGGTCAGAAAAATGTCAGAAGCACTCGTCTGAGTGTACACATGGGCATTTTCTTTCTGGTTGCTTCTCTCTATCTCTCGCTTTGTGATTGTTTTACACTTTCACTCTCTTTTCGCCTCCTTTGTTTCTTTCCCATTCATTGTTCTGTGTTGACTGGTACAGTTTATCCATTCATATACTTGAGGAAGTGAAGGGAAGTTGCATTGCCAAAATATTTCCTTTTTACATTTTTTTGCAATCTGAACAACTCTTATTGAAGCAAACATCTTAGAAAATGATTCCACATTTGATCAAACATTGTGACATAGCAGCTATTCTGGGATGTCAAGAGAGAGCAAGCCTCATGATGGGTAGAACTTGTAATTGCTAAAACCTAGAAAATGGCACAAATGCCCTTTCTGTTGGTGATACAGTGACAGAAAATCACAACAACAGTGTACTATGGGTAACTGACTATTGTTTTATGAAAAAGAGAGTTAGCTTCCCCACATTCTTTTAGCAGGTGGTATGTAATATGGCAGATTATGAACACTGATGATCTCTATGTTACCAAAAAAGGAAGTTTTCAGTGAAATCATTTTTTAAAAAACTGGCAGATAATGTTGTGCATAAAACAGTTGCCCAGGTCTGTTCTTAATGCATTTGGGAATGCCTTTTAAGATTATGTTGGGATACTTTGAGCCCCCAGATTCTACTGATTGTAAAATTTTCTTCTAGTGGAGGATAAAAATGTTATTTTGTTCTACTATTCTTGTAGTCTATCCTTTTGAAAATCTAGGGGCCGCAGTGATGCAGTGGGTTAAACTGCTAAGCTGTAGAACTTGAAGGTCAGTGGTTTGACTCCGCAGGACCGGGTGAGCTCCTGTTGCTAGTGCCAACTTCTGTCAACCTAGCAGTTCGAAAACATGCAAATGTGAATAGGTACCGCTTCTGCGGGAAGGTAACAGCATGCTGGCCACATGACCTAGGAGGCGTTTATAGACAATGCCAGCTCTTTGGCTTAGAAATGGAAATGAGCACCAACCCTCAGAGTCAGACTCGACTAGACTTAATGTCAAGGGGAAACTTTTACCTTTATAATCTAAAATTATATATCTTCTAATATTTATGCTGGTTTATCTTTATATGAGCCTTCTGTAATTAGCTCTACCACATCTTATACTTCTGTGTTTTTCTCTGTAGGATAGTGTGGCTCAGCCTCTGACATTATCAACAGTTAATTTGCTTCAGCCTGTTGATAATAAATGGAAGAATGTGAGTATTTTAATTCTTAATTTGCTGCAGTCTGCTATTGACATAGTATGAACATATGCAACTTTCCACGTCTTTGTATTGTGTTAAGGAGATATTATTTTAGAGATACCTTAGAAACATTTATGTTGGATTTGCTCGTTTGAGATCCTATTGCAGTCATCCAGTGAAAGCAACTTCTGGGACCAATGGATAAGAGTTGCCTTATCCAATATTTAGGATACTCAGAGAGTGTGTCTATACATAGGATAATTAAGAGGTGATTAATATGCCCAATTGTGACCATGCTGGTTTACTTGGAATGGAGTGAACACCAGTCCAATATAGCAGCCAGAGCTAGTAAAATGTTGTTAGTTGACTCGGAAGATGAGCTTCATGTAGTTGAGCAAAGGTTATGTGAAATATGTACATGAGTGTGAGAGAATGTTTCTAGTATTTGACACACAAGCATAATGATGCTCAAAGAGAGAGACTGAAAAAGCTTTGGTAATACAGAGCAGTGCACTGTAATTATTATATCTGGCTTTCAGGTTCTAGTAGTTTGGTATATTGATATATGGATAATTCCAGATAATTTATATACCAAAAATGATATTGTTTTTCAGACTAGAAATCTCCATAGCTTGAGAAATTAATATTCATTGTTGGGGGTGAAAGATTTGCTTGAATTCTGCTAAAATGCAAATTGAGACTATTCCTTCCTTGAAATGAGCTTTTATCAATATAAAGTGAAGGCTTTTAGGGTTTATGAGCTGCAGGTGGAAGCAGAGAAAAGTTACAAAAGTTGCTTTTGCCGGTGCAATGAGTGTTGGATACTGGTATTTATGCCAAATGTTCATGATTTTTGTAAGCTATATTTTATAATAAATAATAATAATAACGTTATTTTTATATCTCGTCACCATCTCCCCAAAGGGACTCGGGGCGGCTTCCATGGGGACCAAGCCCAGCATAAATATGGATTACAAGCTAAAACACAATTAAGACCATAATAACATATAAACAATATAATTGAAACAATTAAAACCAGAAGAGTAAAAACATCATTAAAATTCATCAATCAACATCAAACAACCAGTAACCAGGAAATGATGGGCATGATCAGATTCGAGAGGACAGGGCAAGGACTTGTGCAAAATGCAGACTATAGGGCCTGGGCTGGGAGTAAAGTACTGAAAAACCAAATCAGTAAATTTGGGCTGGACAGACCTGATCAGGGACTTAAATCATCATTCAAAGGCACACTGGAACATTCAGGTTTTCAAGTCTTTATGGAAGGTTGACAGAGTGGAGGCTAATCTAATCTTCTTGGGGAGGGAGTTCTAGAGCCAGGGGGCCACCACCGAAAAGGTCCTCTCTCTTGCCCTCACCAACTATGTTTGTGATGGTGGGAGTGAGAGAAGGGCTTCCTTGGCAGATCTTAGAGTCTGCACCGGTTCATAGGGGTCAATACGGTCATGAAGATAAGCAGGACCTGAAGCATTTAGGGCTTTGTATGTAATAACCTTCATTTTGAATTGGGTCTGGAAACTTACTCTGATACTTTAAAGAAGGATAACAATTTCAATTTGTATGATGAGCAACTCAGGTTTTTATCATATATATTTGGGGGGTATGTCACATTCAATTCACTAAGCATAATATATGCTGCATGACTTGAGTACTTATGTTTGGAAACAATGTTTGGTTATGAAATAATGAGTCTCTCAGGGAACAAAGTCATCTATTAATTTTGAAATACTGTAAATAAAGGAGTTATTGCCAAAGAAAACCAATTTAATGTAAAAGAAATTAGCAATTACATTCCAAATATTTCATTCCTTTATAAGTGATACCTGTATATTCATGGCAATGTTTCTTTTATCTATAGACAGAAAATCCAGTAACCTCAGTTTCAGGACATCAAGGTCAGCAGTCCGTCACTGATGTTATTCAACAGCTTCTTGAATTGTCAGAGCCAGTGGAAAATAATCAGTCCCAGCCTCCTAGTCAACAACTCAGTATGGCTGTGAGCATCAACAGAGATATTTTACAGGTAAAATAACCTATTTTAGACATATTGCCTTTGAGCATAAAGTGCTCTAAGATTTCAGTGAGGAAAGCCAAACAATACTCTAGGATTTTCAACATTAATGGATGGGCCAGTTAATTATTTTCTCTTTTGTATTTCCCAAATTGCTACTAATTTCAGAGTTTCTTGACTATTTTACCACTTAATGTAGCAGCTTTTCGAATACCTGTGGTCTCTTCAGAAGGGAAAATACTAAATACAAATCAAGGGCAGATTGCCTTTGACTGCTTTCTGCCTTAGCCAAGTCTGTGGTTGCCTTTCAAGGTGCTGTACTTGAGAGGTTTGCCTATGTATGTAAAAGCCCTCCAGGGTCAAACATCCTTGTCAAAAAGGTGATAGCAAGTTGTCATTGTGTAGTACTTCTTGTGTTATTATCTTAAAGTTCAATATGAAAAAAATAAGAAAATAGAAATGCACAATAAATACACAGCCAGCCCTCCACATTAGCCGCGGTTTGGTGGCACAGAATCCCCTAGAAAGTGAATGGCGATGAACAAAAAAAAAAAAAATTATATCTGAGAGGACATTTGTGTAGGAATTTCTAGATATTTCAGCATATCTCTGTGGTCAACTTCCACTTGTAAAACATGTTACCCATTCAGAATGCTTGCCAATTCCACTTGCACTATATAGCTGCCACGATACATATTAAAGAAAAACCGGTGCCAGCCATTTTTAATATAACTGTATTTTAAACTATTTTGAGGATATTTGTTGTTATTTATGTTTTAGTTAATTATGTCTTATCGACTATTTTATTATATTTTTATCACAATGCTTAATCCTTTATTGTAAACTCACTGTTATTGTGTTCTGTCGTGTATTTTGATATGTTTTGATATGTTTTGTACTCACTTATGCATTGAATGTCTGCCTTTTTATGTGTAAACCACCCTGATTCCCATCAGGGAGAGAGGGCGATATAGAAATAAAGATTATTACTATTACTATTATTATTGTTGTAAAATATTCAGATTAATTTTAAACTGCCTTGATCTATAATTGGGCAATATATTTGTGAGAACCAAATCAAAATGCCATAAAGGTATGCAAAGCTTTTATATTTTTCTGCAAAAACATTATTATTATTATTATTATTATTATTATTATTATTATAACTTTACTTGTACCCCGCTAGCATCTCCCAAGGGATTCAATGCGGCTTACACAGGCCGAAGCCCCAAAACACAATACAACAATACAATACCTAAAGCAAATTAAAAACAGTTAAGCAGGAAAACAATAACAGTAACAATACAAAAAGACACTATTAAAACTGGGCCGGCCGGAGTAGGGGTACAGGATTAAAAGTGCTGATGTGGCAGGGGGAATGTAGGATTATAATATAAGTGCAGTATGCAGTGATCTTGGTTCTACTAAGGTGCTTCTAGGATTTGGTGCTGGAGGTTCCTAATCTGAAAAGGCACATCGGAACAGCCAGGTTTTCAATTTCTTTCTGAAGACTGCCAATGTAGGGACTTGTCTGAGATCTTTCGGGAGGGCGTTCCAGAGTTGGGGGGCCACCACAGAAAAGGCCCTGTCTCGCGTCCCCACCAAGCGCGCTTGCGACGCGGGCGGGATCACGAGCAGGGCCTCTCCAGATGACCGGAGTGAGCGTGTGGCTTCGTAGACAGCGATATGGTCACGCAGGTAGGGTGGTCCCAAACCGTTCAGGGCTTTGTAGGTAAGCACCTGCACCTTAAATTGGGCTTCTCGGCCTTTTGGCTAAGATCAAGTGTAGTATCAAAAACATGTGTATATTTGTGGCATTTTTCTTGGCCTTGATGAATACACTGCTCAGATGGGTTTTTGTTTTTGTTGTCATTGTTTTTCTTTTCATTGTTATTCAAGTAGACTCTTGAAGATTAAGTTGATCCAAATAATATTTTCTTGAAAGGTTGTTTTTGTTATATACTTTTGCCTAATTTTTAAAGTAAGGCTAATTGGAAGCATTCATGAATCTTGCTCTTAGTTTAATTCATTATGTTTGTCTTAGCAAGCCTTGGAAAATAGCGGACTCTCTTCAATCCCCGTTTCAGCGAATGCTGACAGGAGTGAAAGTAAGACTTCTCCAACTCAGGATGAAAATGCAGTTGCTCAGAATCTATCAAACCATCAGATCGTCTCTGGTAACACAGAACGTGTTAAGGAGCAAGAAAATCCAGATAAAGTGGATAAAAAAGAGAAAAGGATTCTGAAGAAAAAGTCTCAATTTTTACCTGGTAATAGTAAAATTATTCACACTATACAGCACTGTTTTTAATTTCTCCTGTAGTTGCTTGTTGCCATTTAGTAATGCAGAGATTAGATGCTCTCTCTGTTCACTAAGAATCGAGTTACTGGTATTTTGAGAAAAAAAAGACTGGAATTAGCTTAGAATAACATTTTCAACTTCCTCTTTAGATGTCAACTCTTCTGCCTTGGTAATGGTTGTGAAATTTGAAAATATCCAGCTAGCTCTGTAGAAAGTAATCAGTCGCAGAAACTATTGAGAAACTAATCGATTTTTAAAAAAATGACAGATCTAGGAATTGTCAGGGACTTCATGGAGCCTTGAGGGCTTTAAAATAGGTTCCCATGGGATTTACCTTCCCATTCTGGCATATGTTAAATGCTCTAAAGTAGTGTAGTAGAATCAGTTGTGAAACTTTCCTGTCAGGAGAAATTCTGTGATTTATAGGAACTAGAGACGTAGCAGCTGCATTCTTGCTCAGTGTAAGAAATACTTGTTTGTTCAAATAAGGTTTACTCTGGACAGTGAGGAATTGAGTATAGGTTCAATATCATGAAAAGGTTCAATATCATGAAAATTTTAACTTTTAAAACATATCACTGTTATGTAGGTAATTTGTATCTTCTGTGCCACAGCAATCTATTGTTGGGATTACAACTGACTTCATATTCTTTACACAGGCGAACAAAAAAAATCTCGGTGTCTTGTTTTTTAGGCCTGTTCTTGGGTTTATTTTGGGGAGCTAATTCATAAAATTGCACTGGATAGATTGTTACTAAGATAAGGTTAAGGATTTTCTGTGGGCTAGCAGATGGCAACTTGTAGATGCCATATTTTCTGTGTCACAAAAATACAGCTGGTAAGGAAAACTGTTGCCTTTTTTGGAATCCGCAGGTAAAATATACCCAGAACCAAGTTTAACATTTGAGGCACCAAAATGTGTGCTAGCCAATGTTATGTTTAAATCTAAGGTAGGAGGTAACTGGGGTGAAATTGGGTTGCTGTGAGTTTTCCGGGCTGTATGGCCATGTTCCATTCTTTCCTGCTATTTTGCCCACATCTATGGCAGGCATCCTCAGAGGTTGAGAGGTCTATTGGAAACTAGGCAAGTGAGGTTTATATATCTGTGGAATAACCAGGGTGGGAGAAATCACTCTTGTCTGCTTGAGGAAAGTGTGAATTTTGCATTTGGCACGCCTTGATTAGCATTTAATGGTCTTGCAACTTCAAAGCCTGGCTGGTTGCTGCCTGGAAGAATCCTTTGTTTGGAGCTGTTAGCTGGCCCTGATTGATTCTTGTCTGGAATTCCCCTGCTTTTTGAATGTTTGAATGTTTATTTACTGTCCTGAATTGGGGTAAAATTGCTAGGTTTCTTCTTGTTTCAAATTGTGATTTTTCTTGCTTGAGACTGTTGTACTAATAGGATTTTATACTTACAGAATGTTATTACAGTATCTATTCCAAAATTATATTTCAGGTTCCATACGTGAAGAGAATGGAATACGGTGGCACATTTGCCCATACTGCAATAAAGAATTTAAAAAACCCAGTGATTTGGTCCGGCACATTCGTATTCACACACATGAGAAGCCATTTAAATGTCCGCAGTGTTTCAGGGCTTTTGCTGTGAAGAGCACCCTCACCGCACACATAAAAACACACACCGGTATTAAGGCTTTCAAGTGTCAGTACTGTATGAAGTGCTTTTCTACCTCAGGAAGTTTAAAAGTGCATATTCGGTTACATACAGGTAGGATTTCACAACTATAGTTTCAATATTGCATGCTGAATTAGGAACAAGAAAATGTAAGTTAAAGTTACTGAAATATGTAATGCCTTACTCAGGATGCAAAGTTCTGCGCACTTCCAGGGGCAGATAGTGAGCCAAACTGAAGATAGTAGAAGGTCAACAAGAAAGAGAAAGAAACAAAGAAAAGAAAGAAAGAAATAAAGAAACCATTGAAAATGTGAATATCAGTAATATTAGAGGCAAAGTGAAGCAGCATAAAACTGAAAAACTAGAGCTGTGCAGAATGGGTATTTGAGGTTTCATAAATTTGAACTATGGGCTGTGTGTAGAGGAAAGAGGATGGGTTTCCTCGCCATACATCGGTTTTGCCCCTTTTTTGCTAATGGTTATATACTAAAATACATTTTAAAGAATTGAGAACACAACTCATGTTCCCCAGACTCCCATGATAGAGCTGTGCTTGCTTCTTTTCCACTGAGGCCAGGGCAGTGGCAGTTGGGATGGGTGGAGGGCCTTTCATCCACATCTGGGAATAGTCATGATGAAATATGTGAATAAAAGATAAGAACAAGGAAATATGTGAATCCATATGTTTATGTGATTTTAAATTTGTTTAGAATTGCTTAGATCTGGAACTTTTCTCAAGTTATGTGTGGAGATCTTCATAGGACAGAATTTCTAAATGAGTTCCTTTTTGTGTATTTTTTTAATTATGGAGAACTAAATAATGAACATGTTCATATTTTTAGGAATTAGGCCTTTTGCTTGCCCACACTGTGATAAAAAGTTCCGAACTTCAGGTCACAGAAAGACGCACATTGCCTCTCACTTTAAACACACCGAACTAAGAAAAATGAGACATCAGCGTAAACCTGCAAAAATCCGAATAGGGAAGACCAGTGTTCCAGTACCTGATATTCCTTTACAAGAACCTATCCTCATTACTGATTTAGGTAAATCACATACAATATGCAAAGAAATGGTTGAAAAAAATATTTTAAATTATATTTGTGGTGTCTTAATAGGTGTGCTTGCTTTTTCATAGTCATATCGTTTGATCCATCCGTCCAGTAGCAAAGTACTTTGGATAGATATAGATGGTAATGCAAAGTCATGACCTATGAATGTCAGTGATAGCACAAATTCAGTATGTGGTCTTATACACATAATAAAGTTCACGTTAAGTCTGCCAGAATGCAGTGGATAAATGCATTGAATTTCGTGATGAGATGTATATTTCTATGTATACAGGCAATCCCCAAGTTATGAACAAGATCGGTTTTGCAGGTTTGTTCTTAAGTTTAATTTTTGTGTAAGTCTGAACAGGTACATTTTTAAGTGTAACTCCAGCCAAATATATAGATATAGATGTATAGCTTTGGATACTGGATAGCATAGGGAAGGGTGAACACCTCTGTGGTGTTTGTTTTGCTGTCTGTGCCCCTGTTCAGAAGATTTCACCTCAATCCTGTCTCTGAGATAATTGCATTTTGAAAAAATTGGCTTGTTGTGGAAACATGGATTGGTGATTAAGCTTCACTGGATACACCTTTTCTCTATGATAACTCTTTCAGGAGTGGGCTTCCCTTCTTGGGTGTGGAATTCCCTCACTTCCTGTTGTCTCACCCCTATTTGTAACTATGAATCATTTGTAAGTTGGATGTTTCTAACTTGTGGGCTGCCTCTGTATTATAAATAGATGAACAATTCTAGGACTTTAGAATTTCATATGAGGTAGTGTATGTGAGGAAAAAAAGATGACACAAGATGATGCTTAGAACTTGAACTATTAACCATTCAAGAAATTATGATTAACACTTACTGTGCCTAACAGTTATTTGATGTTTTAAGTTACCACAGTTAAGTGTTAATCATGATTTCTCTCATCTTTAACATAGTAAAATAATAGTTTCTGTTGGGCACAATTTAACTCATCCACTGTTCCCAAAGTGTTTTCCTGAAATAGACAAAGAAGGAATTTCTGAGTCTTAGGATTAAGTGGTTATTACCATCCGGGCATATACTGTGGAGTTAATGGCCTGTTCAGGTTGGATTGGCTATATGGTGGATATCGTGCTGATGCAGTAAAATTTCTTTTCCTTTAATGCAGTTAATCTAGATTCTGAAACTCCACTATATGGCTGTGTAGATGGAGCCAAAGAAGATCTCCCAGCCTCCTTGAGCTACTTAATTATGGAGCAGCTAAAAAGCCACAAAAGCTTTGCTCCATGTTTCATCGGTTGGTCATATTGTATGGACTCTTTTCTCCCCTGTTTGTTTCTCTCTCAGCAAATCAGAGTTATAATCTAGAGTTTATTTCTCTTGTTCATGTGGAAGGAGTAAATCAGAAAAGTGAAACTATCCACTTTAAGACCATATATTTCACCAAGAGAGCAAAATTCTTGTTTTCTTTTGCTGCTTTTGCCTCAAGCAGAAGCAATCAGATGCTCATTCAAGACAAGTTGGGATTTTCATGTCATGTAATGATACCAGAGGCTTTAAATGTGTGTGTGTGTGTGGTAAGAATTTTCTGTGCATTAAGTAATGGCATGTTTATAAGAGAAATTAATTACGACATTTGGAGCAGGAATGTGCTACGCATTGTTACGTTTTTAAGAACTGTCTTGGAACTTTCTGAATTGGTAGCTATTGTTCCAGCCTTTTCTTTCTCTCTCTCATTAGGTCTTATCCAGCCAATCTCAAGGAATAGCCAGTTCTTCCAAAATTATTTCAATAACAATTTTGTGAATGAAGCAGACAGGCCATACAAATGTTATTACTGTCACAGAGCTTACAAAAAATCGTGCCATCTTAAGCAACATATCCGGTAAATTCTAGCAAAAAAGAATGTAAAAACAATGAATAATTCCTTCTTTGTCTAGTCACACCTTGCTTTAAGTTGTTTTGCTATACCTATTCACTATTTCATTAGTTTTCAAAGTCACACAACTTCCAGTGGAAATGGTTCTTCAAGAAATACTGTTGTAATTATACAACAATGTTCCCTCTGATTCTGAATCACTTTAAAGATTATGCTGAAGTACTGTGTCGCTTATGGCTGCCCAGCAATATAATAAATACAGAGTTGGGGCTCAGGATGATTTAGATTCTAGTCAAAATTTCAGGCTGTACTGGATCTCAGTTTACTCATACTGGGATATCACATGCCTTCCCAGGTTAAGATATATATCCAATTTCATTTAGGAGCCTTGTGTGTTTGTGATTTACATGTAGAATAATTGTAACACAAATGCCCCCTCCCCAAATTATTCTTTGCTATTTGCAATGAAACTCCTCTTTTAACTCTGTAACCCTCACTGCAAAAGTGCAGTTTTTTAGGAAGCAATAACTTCCAAGGATGGAGAGGAGTATGTGAAGTGAGTCCAAAGAGTGCTAAATATGCTGACTGGACATGCCTGTAGATGGTTTGAAAAGGAAGCAAGAGAGAAAGACCATGGGTTGAAGTATCGGGAATAGTGAATGTGATCATGCTGTGTTGCTACAATTTGTTGTGTTCCTACTTGTAAATTTGTATTATTCAATCAGTTATTAATGGCAAAATTTTTGGACAATATAACAGATTCCCTGGTAGATATTTACTTTTTCTTCTGTCATCCTTTTATTTCCTTTTGTGTTTGTTTCTTTGCTTTGAAGATCACATACTGGTGAGAAACCATTCAAATGTTCCCAGTGTGGAAGAGGCTTTGTGTCTGCTGGAGTACTGAAAGCTCATATTCGAACCCACACTGGATTGAAAGCTTTTAAGTGTCTCATATGCAATGGTGCTTTCACAACTGGTGGGAGTCTGCGGAGGCATATGGGTATCCATAATGACCTTCGACCGTATATGTGTCCATATTGTCAAAAAACCTTCAAAACCTCATTAAACTGCAAAAAACACATGAAAACACACAGGTATGTGTTATTTAATATTCCAAACCTTTTCCCCAGGATTCATTACATGAGTGTTTTACTTATGGCAGGCTTTGATTAAAAGAGTCACCACACTCAGTTGAGAACTCTAAACAAATCTGTCAATGAGTTCAAAGTCAGTCTTTGGATATTAGAACATTAATGGCAGCGACCTGATAGTGTTCCAACTGATAAAAACTGATGAAAAAAGAAAAAGCATTGGACTTGAAAAAAGTTACGAGAAAAATGCTGTAAAGTTTTTGAATTTTACTACTTAAACTCTGGTTTCCCATGGCTGAAATGAATCCCTATCCTTATTTCTGCCAATAGCTCAGGTAGTCATGATGTTACAGAGTGTTCATAAGCATTCAGGTTGATAGAGGGCCTCAGAGATTGACCTAATTGTTGCAAGAAGGGCAAATTCTTCTGTTGCTTTGCGTTGTTGTTGTTGTTGTTGTTCGTGGTGTCCATTCTAGTCATTTTTTGACTTATGGAGACAACAACTGGAACTTATGGTGTTTTCTCAGCAAGACCTTTTCAGATGAGATTTTCCATTGCCTTCATCTGAGGCTAAAAGCCTCACCACACTAGAGAATGAATCCACTTTAAATCTGGTTGCTGCCTCCTCCAGAATTCTGGGGTTTGTAGTTTAGGGAGGAGTTTTTAACAGCCTCATTAAACTACAAACCTCAGAATTCTTCAGGAGGCAAACCCGGATTTAAAATGAATTCATTCTCTAGTGTGATGAAGTGCTAAGAGAATGTGACTTCCCCAAGGTCACCACTTACATTTCGATGGCCAAGTGGGGATTCAGACTATGGACTGGTGAAATCCTAATCCAACACTCAAACCATTATATCCTATATTGCTTGGGTTTTAGATACGTAAAATTAAAGCAGGTCCTGGGTTCATCTCACGTCTTGACAGTGCAAGAGACATCTCTCCCTCCTCTTTCAGGTATGAGCTTGCACAACAGCTGCAGCAGCATCAGCAGGCTGCTTCAATTGATGATACAACAGTAGATCAACAGAGCATTCATGTTTCCACTCAGATGCAAGTGGAGATTGAAAGTGAAGACCTACAACAAGATGAAGGAGCCACAACAGACCAAGAAGCTATTTTAGACCTAGACCAGCAACAAGTTGTAGACACAGAAGAACCTGAACTGAGGCCACAACTGGCTGACCAACCATTAGGTCAAGATGAAGGTAAATATTCAAACCATGCACAGTCTATAGGTTTTGGGATTTCCCACCGAGTTCCATTAAAATTAGTAAAGTTTAAGATTGTCAAAGCTATGTTGCCTTCTTAATTTCAGTATTGTTTAAATGTCAGTAGTCTGTGTGCAGTCAATAGTAAAGAAGTCAGTTTAAAGAGAAATTGGTTCATCAACACAAATTCTATATAAAATGTAAGCTTTATGTTATTGTGATGTCCGAAAGCACTCTGCCTTGTTAATCTATTAGCAATTGAGGAGAAGAATCCAGAATTTGTTCTGTACTTCCCCCACACCTCACTCCCAGCTTGTTAAATTGCAAAATACTAGACTTTTGGGTGACTGTAAGCAGGAAGAATAGGAAGAGCTACAGTCTTTACTTGACTCTTGAGTATAAAGGCAGAAAGAGCTGACTTTTGAGTGTAAAAGCAGGAGGAGTTGGAAATATTCAAGGAACCCAATGTGAAAAAGAGACTGCACCTCAGAATGTATTATGAAAAAAGTTTTATTCTACAAATGAACTTAGTGTGTTTTAGTCTCTGGTGGTGCAATGGGTTAAACCCTTGTGCTGGCAGGCCTAAAGACTGACAGGTCGGAGGTTCGAATCCGGGTAGAGTGCAGATGAGCTCCCTCTGTCAGCTCCAGCTCCCCATGCGGAGGCATGAGAGAATCCTTCCACAAGGATGGTAAAGCATCCAGGTGTCCTTGCAGACAGTCAATTCTTTCATTCCAGAATATTTCTAGGCTTTTTTTCGTGTCAGGAGCGACTTGAGGAACTGCAAGTCGTTACTGAAACGAAAAAAAAGCCTAGAAATATTTGAATGGCCCTCTTCAAGGGCTGTTAAAAAGGAGGAAAGGCAGTACATACATATTAATAATTATAAGTGAGGCATAGACCAAAGTGTTACAAAGGTTAAGTATATACTCATGCTTGGTATTAATTTCCATATAAAATAAACTCAAGAAGAAGTACTATATTTATTTATTTATTTATTTATTTGCTGTGTTTGTATACCGCCTTTCTCAGCCCGCAGGCTACTTAAGGCGGTTTATACTGAATGAGGTAAAATCGCTAAGATATGAAATGATGATATATACTTACATAGCAATCTGAAGCCCTAGAAAGGTATTTTAAAGTGTTGCATTACTAATCATGTTTTTAAAATTGTTCTTTAAATCCTTTTTTCAGATTTATTAAATTAATTTTATTTATTGCAATTTATGAACTATTTCATTTGCCTTCTGTGCCCTTATATTTCTAATTTCAGACAGATTTGTGACATCCCAGCATACGCTCCAAGAGAATATAAATCAGTTTGAACAGCAAACAATAGCACAGCAGTCATTTGATCAGCAAGTTTTATCGCAAGGTTGGTAAAAATATAAATATACATTTATTTTGCTGTGACATTGACATATAGGCGTACAGTGGTTGCCATCCTATAAAGTCACTTGTGTGGTGTGTGTGTTTTGCTGTCTGTACCCCGGTTCAGGAGACTTCACCTCATTTTCTTTGCCTGTGAGAATTGGATTTTGAAAAAAATTGGCTTGTTGGGGAAAAAAAAACAGAGCTAAAGCTTCAGTTGAGACACCTTTTCCTCATGATAACTCTTTCTGGAGTGAATTTCCATTTCTAGGGGCAGATGTATCTCCCTTCATGTTGTCTCACGGCCATTCCTAACTATGAGTCGTTTGTCAGTTGGATGTTTGTAACTCGGGGAGTGCCAGTATATGTCTGTGATGCCAATGTAAAGAAAGAGAGTTGGGTCAACTTCTTAGACGCATGCATGCATTAAATAAATTTAGAATTTGAATGGCTTCAGAACTTCAAGTGTGTTCTGGGGAGAACATTCTTAAAAAGGCAGATCAAGGGTAAGTGGTCTTACTCTGGATATTTAATAAATACCTAGAATTTTTATACTTTTGTCACTTTCTTCCAGATGAAGAGGAAAGAGTAACTTCCCTAAGTTACTGATACTTTCTTAGTTATTAGGTGTTGCTGAACCTGCTGAAATGCTACAAGATGACTACAGCAATATCACATTTTATAAATTCCAGAAAGCTGTTGTTCTGCTCACATAGTACTAGTGTCAAGACTTCTCCAACTCTGCATTTCACGGAGGAGGGGAATTTTAGAGTGTACTACAGCTGCAAAGGACTGTACTGCTTGTGCCAATCGTAGATATCTGTTAGAGATGTGGGAGACATTTTTTTAGATCCCTGCTACTTGAGAAAAAGTGGTACTCTTAAGTGAAGCTCTTTAATTTTGCAGAAAATATATGGCAAGTCTCAAATGTCATGGATAAAAATATAAAGGCTTCTTGATTTTTCTTGTGACAGGTTTTACAGTTAATGATGGCTACAGCCAGACAAATCAGTTTCCTGCAGTACAGCAGCTCCAGGATTCAAGCACACTTGAATCCCAAGCTCTGTCAACAAGTTACCATCAACCAAATCTTCTTCAGGTTCCTGCACCAGATGCCATTAATGTAGTAAGTATTCACTTACTGTAAAAGTTTTAATACACTGTTTTTTCGTATATGTAAATTATTTTGCTTTGTGAAAGGCATACTTTTTTCTGTTATTACCTGAGAAAGGATTTTGCAACTTCCTCAGTGGAAGTTAGTCTTGCTTGTTGAATAGTTTCTATGTTGCCTTTGGACATATCTTCCTGGCCCTTTAAAAAACAAAACAACAGCATGATAAATTACAAAATTTGCAGCATTTGACTGCACTACACTAAATACTCTTAAGTAAAAACATTGAGACCAGACAGAAGATGTCTTAGGTTGCCTCCCATCTTATCTCAGATCAGAAGATGTGGGTGGGGAAACTGGAGGAATCTCTCCAAATGTAACTGAGTACATGGAACCATTGGTGAAGTATGTGTTGTTTCCTTAGACATTGGGATCCTAGGCTGTATATGCCTTTATGGGGGAGCAGTAACACTTTGAATTCTGCTTGGAAAGTCATCAATGGCACCATCTACACAGCCATTATAATATATTGGACTGTATTATGTGATCAGTGTAGATGCATATAATCCAGTTTTACTGCATTGATCTGGATTATATGACTCTATGCTGATCATATAATGCAGTTCAATCTGCATTATAATGGCCACATAGATGGGGCGAGCGTTAACAAAGGATGGCCTAACAGTTGGTTCCAGTCAGCTGACTAGCAACTGTATTTTGGATCAATTGCAGTTTCCAAGCAGCTTTGAGAAGAACAGCATACACAATTCATTTCAGTAGACCATCCTACATTTTACCAGAACCTTGATGTGAGCAAGCTCTTTTGGTCTGAGAAAAAACTATGCTAATAATACAGAATTAGTATTTGGATAGAAAATTGTGGCTGAACAGCAGTGTTAAAAGTTAAGTGTCGCTCATTATTGTGACACATCTTATCAGTTAAATGGGTTCCATTTGCTACCTGTGAACAGAACCATGAAATTTAAGCACCATTTTCTATGCAGTCCAGTTTGTTCTATCTTTATAAATATTTAGATAATCTAGTATTTAATGTTGACCTCATAAATATAAGACTATTGGTTGATTCCTAGACTACCCGCCTAATTCATGACCAGTCCAATGACCTTGAGTTGCATACTGAACGCTCCCAGTTTCTGGAAGACAATGAAGATCAAAGCAAGCGTTCTTACAGGTCTGTCGAGCTTCATGGTCAATGTTTATCCGTAGGAAACTGTCATGGCCTTGAAGGTCTCAGTAGGGTTTATTTGCCTTAGAATTAGAAGAAAGGCAAGCTGATCAGGATTTTTGTTTTGATCTAATGCACTGGAAGTTGTAATGCTAGCAAGCATTCCTAAGGCCAAAATGAGATGTTACCTTCTTTTTCTAAAAGCAAAATGAGTCTGATAACAAGACACGTATTGACTAGGTGTAGAAATGGCTATTCTTTAGTAAAGGTAAAGGTTTCCCTTGACATTAAATCTAGTCGTGTCCGACTCTGGGGGGTGATGCTCATCTCCATTTCTAAGCCAAAGAGCCAGCATTGTCCGTAGATGCCTCCAGGTTATGTGGCTGGCATGAGTGCATGGAGTGGCTTTATTCCTTACTCAGTTGACCTGTTTTGAACTTTTGATTTCTAACTTTTTTGGTCTTCTGACTTTCTGCCATTCAAAGATCTAGATCTGCTACTTTTAGCAGTAGATTTAAAAGTAATTCCGTGAAGGAGAAAAAAATAGTCTATTGTCAAAGGCTTTCATGGCCAGAATCACTGGGTTGTTGTGAGTTTTCTGGGCTGTATGGCCACATTCCAGTAGCATTCTCTCTGACGTTTTGCCTGCATCTATGGCGAAATGTCAGGAGAGAGTGCTTTTGGAACATGGCCCTACAGCCCAGAAAACTCACAACAACCCAAGGAATTGTCTGTTTTTGAATGGCCAAGTGGCTAATAAAAGCACTGGAAGACATAATATAGGAAGCTGTTTTTATTTATAGTATTGCACTTATATCATACTGCATGAAGGATTTTCCAGTTAGATGTGAGACATTACTTGTAAAGTCTATATTAGACTTAATATAAAGATATTTTTGTATAAGCAGATGACTATATTGTCAATCCATTTGTAAAATATTTATTTGTCACTGGGAAACCTTTAAAACAAAATGCAGTTTAGTGATACAGTTTTTACTACCCCTATATCAGAAGCAGTAACAAAACTTTTTTGCAAAGTAATCATAAAATCTCTACTGTTTTATTCAGAATTATTTTTCTTTCAATAGGTGTGAGTATTGTAATAAGGGTTTCAAGAAATCCAGCCACTTGAAGCAGCATGTACGATCGCACACTGGGGAGAAGCCTTATAAATGCCAATTGTGTGGCCGAGGATTCGTGTCTTCTGGAGTTCTTAAATCTCACGAGAAGACACATACAGGTGATAAAACATTGGTAATACTTGTTTTTTTTCTGAAATAGAATTTCAGCCTTATAATACTTCTGTATCCTAGACTTTCTTACTTGAATGTAATAGTGCTTTGGTTGCTTTGCTGGATAATACTGTATAGTTCCTAGTATCTGTTTTGAACAATATTCAACGTAAAGCTTTTGAAGACCCTGAAGCAAAAATCAGGAAAAGGAAATATCTGGTCTTTGGGCCCAATTTGATTCATGTAGGGTTGGAATCCCACTTAGCTGTCATGCCTCCCCCCACTTCTGAATCTGCCAATACTGGTGGGGGACCATTTTGTTTTTCTTACCCTTTTAAATGGGTAAATAAACTGTGGGTTCCCACCCCAAGTGGGGTTCCCTTAGCTCCGTGTTAGGGTCACAAAAAATTGGCAGCAGCAAAAGGTTTCTGAACACCACCCATTTACACAAATCTACTCGCAACAACATGAAGTATTTACAGTGGACTCTGCAGAAAATACTTCAGCTGCACTCCACAAAAAAGGAAAATAAGTCTGTTTAGCAAGTCTTACAAATGCTGAATTATTATCAGTAAATGTTTGCTCTTTATACCTATTTCATATACTTGGGTTATTTAAAAAGGCAGGATTGCATGTTGAAAAGGTTTTAGAAGCCCTCATCTACACCACCAAAAACCTGTATTTTTTCATTCACTTTTCTTCCTTCAGGAGTTAAAGCATTTAGTTGTAGCATTTGCAACACATATTTCACTACGAATGGAAGTCTTACTAGACACATGGCAACACATATGAGCGTCAAACCATACAAGTGCCCATTTTGTGATGAAAGTTTCAGAACGACAGTTCACTGCAAGAAGCACATGAAAAAGCATCAAACTGCGTCTTCATCAGCAACTTCAGCTGGAGAATCGGCAGGAGGAGGTGAGCAATGCTTGCTGGGTAGACTCTAATAATAAATTTTCTTAGATGGGTATTTGTCATCATAATAAGATTATTTATCTTCAGCATTAGCTATGTTGTGAATATGGGAAGTAGATATAAACTATGTTGTGTTTGTGGATGGATGGAACATGTGGAGTGTCTTTGAGAACCTAAATATTCATTTCAACATTGAAATATTTGTGTGCTTTTAAAAACATTTTAAAATAATGACTTCAAAAAATAAATATTGAAGATGTTTGTTTGCTGTGCTCAACAGGCTTCTAGTAATACTCCATGAAATAAAATGCTATCTTTTTAAATATGCAGAAGAAGAAGATGAAAACTCTGAAAGGTCTGCTTCTAGAAAATCTAGGCCTGGTGTCATCACTTTCACAGAGGAAGAAACAGCTGAACTTGCAAAAATCAGACCTCAAGAAAGTGCAACTGTCTCAGAAAAGGTTCTTGTCCAGTCTGCTGCAGAAAAAGACCGAATTAGTGAAATCAAAGACAAACAAGCAGAAATGGAAGCTGAGCCAAAGTATGCCAATTGCTGTACTTATTGCCCCAAAAGCTTTAAAAAACCTAGTGACTTAGTAAGGTAAGATGTTCTATCCAAAACTGAAGAATTCATGTGAAGTATGTTATTTTTATAGCTCAGTTTAGGTCATAATGGACAGAATCTGAAGAACCATGTAGCTGTATGCTTGTAGCTTATTGTTTGAATATCCTCTAGCCTAAATGATTGAAACCAGAAATGTTTTATATATTGGATATTTTTGGATTTTGGAATACTTGCATATACATAATGAGATCTATGAAGCATGAATTGGTGTTTCATATATACCTCAATTCTAAACACCAAATTAATTTATATCTCATATAAATAGCTTGAAGATAATTTTATACACAGAATTTTAATAATTTTGTGCAGAAACAAAATTTGTGTATGTTGAACTATCAGAGAGCAAAGGTGTTACTATTTCAGCCATCCATATGGACAATTTTAGAGTATTTAAGATTTTGAAATTCTGGAAAAGAGATACTTAACTTTTGAAAGGTATCCAGAGTTCCTTATGAGTACCTAAAGGTCTTGTAGATAGTTCTTCTCCATGGAAATTGATGGCTTGCTTCCACAGGAGGCCTCACATTAATCAAGTATGAGCACAGTCAGCTGAGATTTATTTATTTATTTATTTACCATATTTGTACCCTGCCTTCTCATCCCCGAAGAGGACTCAGAGCAGCCTTACAATAGGCAACAATTTGATGCCTCATCAAACAAAGAATAATAAAATCAACATATATAACAAAACTTAAAAATTAGAAAAGCAATATAAACATTAGAAGCAACTATTAAAACCACACAGTCCGAAATCATAGTCAAGGTCATTCCAGTCATGATTGCACATATTCCATCTTCTCTTATTGCACTGCGCTTCTACCCAAAGACTTGGTCCCAGAGCCATGTCTTCAGAAGGTCAGGAGGGAGGAGGCTAACCTGATTTCACTGGGGAGGGAGTTCCATAGCAGAGGGGCCGCAACTGAGAAGGCCCTGTCTCTCATCCCCACTAATTGCACCTGCGAAAGAGGTAGAACTGAGAGCAGGGCCTCCCCAGATGATCTTAATCTGTCTCTCTTTCTTTCTGTCACAATTGCACTCACATCCCTAGTGATTATGAAGTTTGTGACATTACCAAATCTCTAGTTTGACAGTTAAGTTGTTATGATGTGGATTGGATGTTCCTATTTTTCTTAGTGTCATCTGCAGGAAGCAGAGAACATAAGCATAATAATTTTGCAGTGTCTGAAAATGAATTAGTTTTTTTATTATCAGCATCTTCTATTTTATATCTCTTGCTATGTTAAAGTTTGGGGGTTTTTTTGGTCGTGTCAGGAGCGACTTGAGAAACTGCAAGTCTCTTCTGGTGTGAGAGAATTAGCTGTCTGCAAGGACGTTGCCCAGGGGACGCCCAGATGATTTGATATTTTTATCATCCTTGAGGGAGGCTTCTCTCATGTCCCCGCATGAGGAGCTGGAGCTGATAGAGGGATCTCATCTGCCTCTCCCCGGATTTGAACCTGCGACCTGTCGGTCTTCAGTCCTGCCGGCACAGGGGTTTAAACCTATGTTAAAGTAATACAATAACGTTAATTCTTTGCATTGCATCTGCTTGTTGCATTGCTGGGAGATCAGAGGCCCCTTTCATACCTCCCAGATTTGCTGTGGTTGGATGGAGGACCCTCCAGAGCAGAATTGGGGGATAAAGAAAGGAAAAGAAGTCTAGTTTAATGAATAGGAGATAATGGATACAAAGTCTGATGCTGTTTGCAAGAGGCTTATTTATAAAACATAACATACCTTACACTTGAAAGTCTGCCTGGAAAATTGAAAACATTTTCACCGTTGTTGCTTTTTGTTGCTGGTATGGGTGTATGTTTTAGTTTGCACAGAAATGTACACTTTGCTTCTTTACAATTTTAAAGCTTTGCTTTTTTAAAAGTTTGCAAGACACTGTAATTGGGATGTTTGGTTTCTTTAAATTCAGAAAACCTATAGTAACTGAATAACTTTTTTTTTGTTAGGCATGTGCGTATCCACACAGGAGAAAAACCTTTCAAATGTGATGAATGTGGAAAGAGTTTTACTGTAAAATCCACTCTCGATTGTCATGTAAAAACACACACGGGTATGTAAAATTGTCTGCACACCCATCTTTGTCGCATAAGGAATAAAAGAAGGAAAAAATAAATCATGTAATAGTACAGTACTTGAATTTTTTTTCTCATCATCTGACAAGACTGTTTAAGATTTAATTATTTAATACAACAGTTTACTTTCAGTTTCCTTTTATAACATTGTGAAACAAAAATCTGTAATGGGTTTTAAATATATATTTTATTGTCATCTGGTGATTTCTGTAGTAAGAGGGTGGGGAAAAAGCACAGGAGGCAGGTGCCAATTTACTCCTTATTTTCATCAATCATTTTGAAGAGTGGTCTCTTCCAAGCAAGCTTTCAATCAAGTGCTGTGAGTACTGGGAATCCTCTAGTGATAACTGGAAAAAGATAACTCAGTGTTATTCTGTTTGTTTAACCTCCAGGTCAGAAACTCTTCAGTTGCCATGTATGCAGCAATTCATTTTCTACAAAAGGTAGCCTGAAAGTACATATGCGCCTACATACTGGAGCAAAACCATTCAAATGTCCTCACTGTGACTTAAGGTTTCGAACTTCTGGACGCAGGAAGACACATATACAATGCCATTTTAAACCAGAGGCCAAGAAGGTCAGGAAGTCTGTGTCTCGTACACCAACTGAGGGACTGCAGCCAGTAAATCTTCTGAATTCATCCTCAGCTGACCCTAATGTTTTCATCATGAATAACTCTGTTCTGACAGGCCAGTTTGATCAGAATTTGCTTCAGCAAGGTCTTGTTGGTCAGGCTATTCTTCCTGCTTCTATGTCAGGTAAAAAAGGTTGCTTTTTATTTAGGGTTCAGTATATAGAAATATATGTCATCTGAGGAAGACATGGCCTATGTGTCAAAGAAGAGATCCTATGTCAGATAGTCTCTTGCAGCTACTTCTTATGGGAATAGTTTCTTTTAGTGGGAGGAAAGGGAACATTTTCAGCTGAAAATGGCCTAGGAGAAGAATATTTTCTTTTAAAAATTCTTCTAGATTCCTGAAGTATGGAATTCAAGATGTGGGTGACATCAAATCTGTTTTGAGCCTTCTAAGAAGGGACTGTGTTATGGGATTTATGGAGTCTTTTGAATATTGATTCTCCTATTACCCAGTTGCAGTTTCTAGGCCAAATTTTAAGATCATAGTTAGTCCTGTTGCTTGTGTTTTGACATGAGAAAGGAAGTTTGCCACTGCTTGCATTGAATTAGAAGATTTTCAGTGTTGCTTCTGTGATTATTAGCATTTTTGTCATACTGTCAAAAAGATAATCAACAAGTTTAGAATAATTAATAATTTCAAATCATCAATTACATAAGATTAGCAATAAATGGAAGTCATAAATACAAATAAATCAATTGCAAAATTATTGAAAACTAAGTTCCAACAGATTAATTGAATGAAGTCTGCAGTAACAAGAGGCTAATACAGGCTTTTATGACATACTCATTTGCAGACATGATATCAACGTAAGTGTTCAGATTTTTAATAAAGGCATGAGGTTAGACTTGGAAGATTATAAAGTATATAATCTGCAGCATACTGGTCTACAATCATTATTTTATCTGTGGTACCAACTATTGTTTTATTAAAGATATCTACTATCTGTCTATACACAATGTAATCCTATTTTGCATATTTATTTAAAAGTAAGCGCCACTGTTCACTGAAATAAATTGCCAAGTGGATTTTGGATTGCAACATCAATGTGAGTTTGTTAACTGTTTAACCAAGGATCATTACAATAAAGTTTACTGATTTGATGATTAAGAAATAGAACATTGTATGTATGATTATAGGATTTTTTTTAAGCCAAAAATATCTATATATTGTTAGCATATCTCCTTGAAAAAACAATAAGAAAAATAAGTTTAGAATATCATTTTTCTCTTTAATAGCTGGAGGCGATTTAACTGTATCCTTAACAGATGGTAGTTTGGCAACTCTTGAAGGAATACAGTTACAGCTTGCTGCCAATTTGGTTGGACCAAATGTTCAAATTTCTGGAATAGATCCTTCCACCATTAACAACATTACGTTACAGGTGAGTTTATCCTCTGTTATTTTTTATAAACAATTCATAAATTAGTTCTTAATAGAGAAATGTCCCTATTTCTACAAGATCTTTGTCTTCATTTTACAATCTGTCACTTAATGAGTAAACAATACATGTATGATATTTTCCCCCTGTTGTCCCCTGCAAGTATTGAGTAGTAGTTATGTGAAAATTTGATGTGTACTTATTCATAATAGTTAGAACCAAACTTTTTTGTAGGTACCAAAGGATTTGCCTTTACACCAGATAAAACGGCATGCTCCTATTGTTTGATTTTATTTTGTTTTCAATTTGGGCAAAGATTCTATTTAAGGGAGATGTTGACAGGCTGGAATGTGTCCAGAGAAGGGCGACTGAAATGACCAATGCTCTGGAGAACAAGCCCTATGAGGGGCAGTTTAAAGAACTGGGCATGTTTAGCCTGCAGAAGAGAAGACATGATAGCCATTTATAAATATATGAGGGGAAGTCAAAGGGAGGAGGGATCAGGCTTGTTTTCTGCTGCCCTGGAGACTAGGATGAGGAGCAGTGGCTTCAAACTACAGGAAAGGAGATTCCACCTGAACATTAGGAAGAACTTCCTGACTGTGAGAGCTGTTCAGCAGTGGAACCCCCTGCCCTGGAGTGTGACAGAGGCTCCTTTGTTAGAGGCTTTTATATAGAGGCTGGATGGCCATCTGTTGGGTGTGCTTTGAATGTGATTTTCCTGCTTCTTGGCAGGGGGTTGGACTAGATGGCCCACAAGAGCCTTCCAACTTTATGGTTCTATGATTCCCCAACCAATTTTTTTCCATTTATTATCAATTTGAAAGAAAACTAAAGGGGTCTTAGTATAACCTCTTTATACTCTTCTCATAGTTCCCATTGCAGCATATATTTTCAGTATGTGCACCCTATGGTGACAGGTCAGGAGTAACCCAACATTCATTAAACACCATTCACTTATCAAGAGTAGTCTCCATAGAAGATAGAACTTCAACTAATAGGTCTTGTTATTGCTCTTGCTAAAACAAAACTGAGAGCCAGCAACTCTCCAGCTGAAGCAGCTATTCAGAAGAGTATCCAGCACAATGTACTGGTGTGAGGGTTAAACTAGGACTCTTTTTTTTTTTTTTTTTTGGTGTCAGGAGCAACCGCTCCTGTTGTGAGAGAATTGGCCGTCTGCAAGGACGTTGCCCAGGGGACGCCTGGATGATTTTTGATGTTTTATCATCCTTGTGGGAGACGTCTCTCATGTCCCCGCATGAGGAGCTGGAGCTAATAAAGGGAGCTCATCCGCCTCTCCCCGGATTCGAACCTGCGACCTATCAGTCTTCAGTCCTGCCGGCACAGTGCTTTAACCCACTGCGCCACCGGGGGCTCCAAACTAGGACTCTGGGACACCAGGATTCAGATGCCTACTCGGCCATGGAAACCTACTGGGCTTCATTGAGCAAGTAACATTCTTTCAGCCTCAGAGAAAGACAATGGTAAACCCTGTATGAACAAATCTTGGCAATAAAATCCTGCAGCATGTGAATTGTATAATAACGTGTTGTATGGTTCTTTGTTTTCAGATCGATCCCAGTCTTTTACAGCAAACATTGCAACAGGGTAATGTACTTGCCCAGCAGCTAACTGGGGATCCCAGTTTGGCCTCTCAGAACACCTCCCTCCAAACAGTAGACAGTTCTGTGCCTGCAAATGTGGTCATACAACCTTTGTCAGGCCTATCCTTACAGCCTACTGTTACCTCTTCATCTAATATGACAATAGGATCTATGTCTGAGCAGGAATCTGTATTGACTACTAGTGCTGCTGGTAAGTAAAATAAAGAAATGTTCCCTTGCAGTTGGATAACGTTTCATTAACTCAACAGTTTGAAAAGAAATGATTGCTACTTAAATTAAATTATAATTTTAATAATAATTATCATGATGCACTTATACTGGTTTGCATATACTACATATTTCTATTTGCAAAGATTTATAAAACTTTTTTTTATTTCCTGTCATGTATCAACATAGTACTGACATTTTTTATTTCTACTTTCCAATGTTTAGGATCACAGGATCTTTCGCAAGTCATGACTTCACAGGGTATGGTATCAACCTCAAATGGTCAGCATGAGATTACACTGACAATAAATAATTCAAGCTTGAGTCAGGTTTTAGCTCATGCCTCTAGTTCAACAACTTCAAATTCATCAGGAACACCCCAAGAAATTACTCTTACCATATCTGGCAAGTATATTGTTTTCCACTTATCGCAAAACTTCTCAGTTTTATCCACATATTCTCTGTCTCAGAAACATAAAAAACTTCTCTTTCTCCCAGATACAGCTTTTGTAGAAATTGACATTCGCAAGAAGAAAACTATTAAGCTTTGAATATAAAATCATGACTTAAAATTTTCTAGATAAGATTTTTGCACCCCTATGTTTCCCATTATTTTTAGCACAGTGTCTGTGCAATGATGCCCATTTGACATTAAGAGCATATAGTAGTGACTGAATTATTTAAACCAGTGACTCTTAAACTGTGGTGCTCAGGCACCAGGAGGCAGTGATGTCCTCATAGGGGATCTGCGAAGACTTGAAGAAATTTCTTGGAGGAAAGGCGGCAAGCAGGGCAATCTGTTGCTGCTGTTACGTGACCCAGTCAGGTCTGGTAGACAGAGATATTGGTGGAAACTGCTTGGTGGTCATTCCACTCACAACTTTGCTGAAAACCTATACATTAAGATTTGAAGCACTTTAGAGTTTTAAAATTGTAGTTAAGTCTGGATAGCCTGTGGCAGCAAAAATATTTAAATGAGGTGCAGAAATAGTTAAGAACCATTGATTTAAACTTCTATGTCACATTGGTCCATAATAGACAAGTTGCCTATATTCCCACTGAAGACCATTTCCTTAGTATTATGTTTTCACAGTAGTACAGCTATTTTATGCTCTTGAAAGCATAAGAGGAATGCATAAATACACACAGATGAGCATCTGCTTATCAATTCTATTTTCCTTGTAGGGCAAGACCTTATTCAACATAATTCTTCTGGAAGTAATGAACTAAATGGGAATTTGCGATTGGCAGCACCAACTATCAGTACTCGGTCAACAGGTACTACATTAACTATAAGTAATGATCATCTGCTCTCTCAAAGCCCAACACTGAACAGTACTTCAGGTAGGTAACTGGACTCAAATAATATCTTCATGTCTTATATCAATCCTACTCTGCCATTTCAATGTATTCTGTTATTTTTGTTTTATTTTTCCATTAAAATTACATTAGTGTGTTTCCCCAGAATATCTCCTCATACTATTTCAAGGACACCGTGTGCTATGTGTTGTATAGTATTTCAGAAGAAGGAACTGGCAAAACCTCATTTGAGTCTTCCTTGTTTAAGAAAGCCTATGAAATTCATAGAGTGACCATAAGTCATGCACATGCACACGTTACAATATTATTACAGGCTGTGAGCAAATTACATTAATAGTAATTGGTAAATATGCTAGATAAATGAGCATGATAAATGGGTTACATAGAGGTTTTTCAGGTTAAATATTGCACAATCCTTATCTGAAAATATGTAATATTCAAAAATCTGCAATTGCCCACATAGGCCACTTACTCAGTGACACCTTTGCTTTCTAATGGTTCAGTATCCACCAACTTAGTTTCATTCACAAAATTATTCAAAAATATTTATGAGATTGCATTGAGGCTATATGTATAAGAAACATAAATGCATTTGTTAAACTTGGGTTCAATCTCCATGATATATGCAAATACATATATGCAAATACATGTATTCTCAAATTCCAAATAATAATAATCATCATCATCATCATCTGAAATTTTGGTCCCATGCATTTCAGTTAAGGAATACTTAATTTGTATTGGATATTATAAAGACTCTGCTAAAATTGACAACATGGAAAAATGCTTGTGTGCAAGCTATCCATAGGCTACAAAATATCTTGAAACAACTTAATAAATGTAGAAATCCACTGCTAGATATGATAATACATTTAGACTTTAATGATACTCTACCATTTACAGAGCTTAATACTTCAAGTGGGAACCTTCCTTCAACGCCACCCCTATCACAGCCTCCTCAGAATTTAGTAATGTCATCACCAGGAGTAGCAGGAGATGGTAGTGTCACATTGACTTTGGCTGAAACGCAGAGTATGTTATCTGCTGGTCTTGATGCCGTAACACTTAACATCACATCACAGGTTTGTATCATTTGCTGGAAAAAATGTTCTGTTCTGTTAATTATATTTCAAAACTTGAGAACATGAGTGTGAATATACCTATGATTAGGAATTATTTTGCCATCAAAGATAAGTATGTCTCTGTCCTGTAAAAGTATTGTATTGAACCTGCTTGCCTTGTGATGTTTCATTGCCTATCTCCCTTAACACTGGCATTTAATGATAAGGTTGTACAATTAACCTTATTGGAGGGCTTCAAACTGTGTCTGAGCAGATCTTTCCCACTGTTCAGTTGCTCAGTTCTGAAATAAAAGCACAGCTTCTTCTCATATCTGATCTCAGAGTTACATCCCTTCTTGGCAGAAAATTAACACAGGCCATCATGTTACTATTATGCACAATGTCATAGCTCCCTCTATCTCTGTAAAGTGTGCTTGACTTAAATCAGTTTATGTCACAAGTAATATAAAGGACTAAGTAAAAGAACTCTGGTTCTATACAGATTGTTCTTGAATAAAAATGACTTCAGCCTGACCACATTTATGAATTAGTCCAACTGAGTTCAATAGGACTTGTATTTGAATAGTGAATTTGAAATGCATAGTGAAGAGCATGGACACAGATTTTCAAGTTCAACATTACCATGTTCAGAAACCAGCTTGGATGAACTAGTTAATTTTGTATTGGGAATCTTAGACTCATGGAAGAGACCTCATGAGCCATCCAGTATAACCCCCACTGTGAACTGCCCTGAGTCCCCTTCGGGGTTGAGAAGGACGATATACAAATACCACAAATAAATAATAAATAAATAAGAAGCAAGAAAATCGCATTCAAAGCATCCCTGACAGTTGGCCATGCAGCATCTGCTTAAAAGCCTCCAAAGAAGGAAACTCCACCACACTTTGGGGCAAAGAGTTCCACTGCTGAACAGTTTCTCACTATCAGGAAGTTCTTTCTCATGTTCAGGTGGAATCTCCTTTCCTGGAGTTTGAAGCCATTGTTCCGCGTCCTAGTCTCCGGGGCAGCAGAAAACAAGCTTGCCACCTTCTCCTTATTACTTCCCCTCACATATTTATACATGGCCATCATGTCTCCTCTCAGTCCCTTGTAGATTCTTTGAGATTTTCATTACTCAGTACAAGTAATGGTGAAAATGATGCTCTAGTTTTCAAAACAGTGACTTCGACTCGGACGTCTTCACGTGATTGTTAATGCTATAATTAGCAGGCAGTCTTTCTCCCTGCCTCTTGCAAGAATATTTCATGGCTATTCCTCATCCAGTCCACACTCACCAATAATATCTTGACCATTCTGATGCACCATAGAGTTTGATACATTACCATCCTTTATGCCATCTTTATACTGAAGATCTTTAAAAAGAAATGCCTATTCTGTTGTAAAAGAAAGCAATCCCTTCATCATATGGATAATGACTTTTTCTTCTGGCATTTCACAGTCCCAGTATGGGATAGTGGACTTAGCCTTATTATCAATCTCACAGTACAAGTCCAAGAAGATCAGAATGGTTCCTTGGGATTGTACTTCATCCGGGGGGGGGGGGGGGGGTTACTCATGTTTATAGACCTCAATGGCATCTACTTCCATTTTGCCATTTGACTAAATCGCCATTCTGTGACAGTCTTAGCAACTTTTTGCAGAAGCTTTGTGCAGGGCGATTTCACTATTAGATCTGTATAGAGATCACGTGCATCTTAACCTCCCATTACCATCTTGAAAACAGAGCCAAAAGCGATGTTTTGTTCTGCTGTACAGTTCTTTGCACTGTTCTGGCTTCATCTCCAGTAAGCTAGCTCACTGGTTGCCTGCGTGTGAAGAGTCTAGAGACCAAAAAGAAGAATTGCTTGCTTACCCGTAGCTATGATGCCTTGAATGACCATCTCTGAACTCACAGCCTGCCCTCCTCCCCATTTTTCTGTTCCCATTTTAATGTCTTCATTGCATGATAGACAGGGAACTCAGGAAAAGATGCTGAAGCATACATAAATATGTGTTGTGAGAGACAAGAGTAGGCTATTATTATTATTATTATTATTATTATTATTATTATTATCACCATCACTCTGCTTTATCTCTCCCAAAGGAGACTCAAAAGTCTTTCACCAAAACTCTACTCTTTCCAATTCATGCTTTCACTTTTCATAACCATATGTAACATGGTGTGATAAATGTAGTGCTGTTAGCTATTTTGAGTCTCTTTTTAGACCGAAAAAACAGGATATAAATGAGTGAACTAATAGTTGTAGTAGATTGTTGGAGGTCCCCTATTTTCTTGTAATTTTCCAGGGTAATTGAATGATATATTGATGCCCATGTATCTCAGTAAATGTTGCATTTAACTTTGCAAAAATATTATTGCATTTACATTTTTTAAATATGTGTGAGACCCGGAATGTTCGAAAAATTGCATTTTTTGAGAGAAAGTGTTTTGTAAAGCAGAAGAAAGAGCTGTTTGGAATTATACTAAGATACAGGGGTTTTTTGTTTTTTTTTGGTTTTTACTTCACATGCTTTTCAATTGCTTCTACAACATTTTAGTTGTAGATAATTGACTGATTTCAGTAATATGGATTCTTTATTATTTTAGAAATGGAGTAGAGGCTGGGGAAGATCAATTATTGAGACTGCTAATGTCAAAATCCCCTTAGCCTAATTCATTCCACTGGAACTACTCTTGAGTAAGTGGTTTGAGTTTTGCAATTTAACCTTTAAATTCTCCCTCTTTGAGGGACCAGCAAAAGCAAGACATATTTTCAAAATACCAGAGAATTAGGATTTGGGTGAAGAATGGATTGGGTGGTGTATAATTTGTTGGATCTGTATCAATGTGGCTCATTTAATTAATAAGCAACACCGTGATTTCCTTCTAATGATATGTTAGTGCTGAAATTTGAGCTTACGCCATTCACTATCATTAAAATAAATTTAATTAAGCTCTTTGTTGGCAATTTTTTGATTCAATTCATTTTAATTGATTATTCTTATTTAATTTGTATCACTTGCCTGAACCCAAGTTGTATCATATATCATGTGTCATAAATCATGTTCAGGTTTATATTCCTTGACTAAATATGGCAGTGACATTTTACTCAAAATGATGTATTTAAAAATATCTTTTGGCAGGGCCAGCAATTCCCTGCTTTACTCACAGACTCTAGTCTTTCTGGACAGAACAGTTCCAGCTCACAGCAAGTTATACTAGTGAGTCATACTCCGCATTCAATAACTGGAAATCAGGATGAATTAGCATATCAGGTAAATGACTTTTATAGACCTATCTTGCATTAAGGCACAACACATGCTCAGTGTGTATCCTGTAATTCATAAGAGGGAGTCATTGGTATATCCTCATTGCCTTTATCCTTCCAGGAGAAAATCAAGACAGTGCTGTAAAGGAAAAGCAGCATTTTCTTTTTGACACTATTTCATTATTCTTTTGTATATATTAATGAGATTGACAAACTAAATTTATGCATATCTACTTAAATATGAGTTTTGTTGAACTCAGTGGAACTCAACTTGCTGGTAAATATATGCAGGTTGTAGGTTTAGGCTGCAGACATTTTTTTTAAAATCTAGAAACAATAAGCATAGAACTCTACTAGAGATTACTTTTAAGTAGACTTAGAATAGATCAGCAATAATAGTGATAAAATCGTAAGTTTTTTTCTTTCAGCATTCAATAAATATATTCTTGTTGAATCTGAGGTTATCTGGTAGATGTTGATGATCTGTCCACAAATACAGTAAGGAGTGGGAGGAAAGAATTCCTTCAGTTTCTTAGCAACTTCCTTTGTTTCCAATAGTTATTCCATTGTACCTCTTCACATCATAGGGATTTTGTTTTTCTTATGTTTATTGCGTGGTTGCTTATATAAAGTCTTATATATTAGTTTCCATAACTTCTTACCCCTATGATAGACTGACTACATGTTAGCAAACTTGTAGCCATTTCTAGTATCTTTATTTTGCTATTTTCATGAAAACATTCTTATCTATTCCCCCTATCCTACTCATTCTTTACTCTTTGCCTGATTTGGTTTGTAGCCAACTCCATCTGAGCACATCCATTGTTCTTCCTGAATTTCATAAGCTTCTTTAAACTTCTGTCAGTTAAGCCTGTTTTTCAGTTTCACAACTCTTGAAGAACTTCCCCTTTTCTTCTTTGCTTGGCATCCCCATTTTCCTGCATCCACAATGACTAATCAATCATTGTTGCACAAATAGTCTTACCTGATGATTTTTTTAAAATTTTTGTTTTGGTGGTTAATGTCTCTTTCAATCTGGATTTACTTCAGTCAGGCAACAGATAATATGTAGCATTTCTTCTTTGCTATAGAATAGTGCAATTAATTTATATATAAATGATATATATTATACATATATATTGTATATATAATCATAATTCATTATGATTGAATATATTTGGAAATACTGCTGTAGCAAGAAACTATTACCAAGTTTAAGGGTTTAAGCCTGGAGCTTTGAGCTACGGTGCTTGAATTGCCTCTGGTCTTTGCTCACAGAGTGGGAGTACTCAGAAAGATGGATTGATGGAGACATAAGTCTTAGGAAAATTATCAGGTAAGAACATTTCTGTATTCAAAGGCTCGCTAACATCTGGAAAGCATTTGTCTTTTTAACCTTCATCTATCCACCCAGTTTCACATTTTATCATTTGGACAGAGTATGTGAGGGTGATTCTTGGAGAGTGGCAGGAGAATGTTCTGTTCTCCCATGTGAACCAGAAATCAGGCCCAAATGTAGATTAATCAGAAGGTGGAATATCCAAGTTTCCAGATGGTTTATACCTTGAGAGCATGTTGGAAGACTGATTCTGGCCTGGGTTTTTTTTTTTTTTTTTTACAAGCAGCCTATAGTTTTGCAATACAGATTGAGCATCCCTTGTCTGGTATTCCAAAATACTACAAAATTCAAAATTGTCCACATTGGTGGTTGAGACAGTAACACCTTTGTTTTGAATGTACACATATTTTGTTTCACGCATAAAATTATTGCAAATATTGTGTATAAAATTACCTTCATAGCATATGTATAAGATAAATATGAAATATAAATGGATTTTGTATTTATATTTTGTTCCCATCTCCAAGGTATCTAAAATAAATATGTAACACTTCTGGTCCCAAGCATTTTAAATGAGGGATACTCACCTGTATAAATACAGCTCTGTTGGAGTGGTAGAGTCTTTTCTGTAATTTGCTTAGTGAGTGGTTTTTGTCAGCTGGGGCTTACAATAACTTCTCATGTTCCTGTCAAGAGCTACAGCTCTCCAAGGATATGGAATCCTTTGCCAGAAAATAGCAACTTAGCAATTATGGTAATTTTGTCAAGAATGCTATCTAATTTATAAGAGGTTACATTTAGTTATCAATACAAATGTGGAGCTTGTCTCAAAAGATGCCAAGTCCATCTCAACATATTTTACAAGAATTTGAAAAAAAAAACATAGTGAGGATATGCATCCTTTTGCTATAAAATGCAATTTCCTAAGCCCTGTACTGAAGTGATTGGATACATTTTGATCTGTACATAATATTGTACTTTTTAACCAACAATATCATGCCACCTTTAACTCATTTTTCATTTTTTTAAAAAGAAATTGGTACTTTTTGGAAACAAACTCCCCAAATGGTCTTGAATGTTTATTCTTGTTCACATAGACCTTCCTTTAAACTCCCCTGCATGTCAATAAGCTTCCATTTCTGTTTTTATTTGAAGACATAAATTGCTGCATTTGAATGCATGAAAACTACAAGTTTGGTGTAAACCAGGGGTCCCCAAACTTTTTGAACAGAGGGCCAGGTCACAGACCCTCAAACTGTTGGAGGGCCATATTATAATTTGAAAAAAAACATTAATGAATTCCTATGCACGCTACATATATTTTATTTGTAGTGCAAAAATACTTAAAAACAATGCAAGAATTAAAATGAAAAACAATTTTATCAAATATAAACTTATTAGTATTTCAATGAGAAGTGTGGGCCTGCTTTTGGCTGATGAGATAAGATTGTTGTTGTTGTTTTGTTGTTATTGTTGTGTGCTTTCAAGTCGTTTCAGATTTAGGTTGACCCTGAGCGAGGACCGGGTAAATGACCTTGGAGGGCCGTATCCGGCCCCTGGGCCTTAGTTTGAGGACCTCTGGTGTAAACCATAAACAGATACTTAACTCCTTGTCTACTTTTTGGAATAAAGTCGATGGGAGTGTGAAATCTCAAAGTAGGCCATTTTTATACATGCCTGATCATGTGGCAGTTATCTTTGAGTAAATAAATTTATTTACTCAAATTTCTGAAATTTATTCAGAAATAAATGTGGTTCCCAGTAATCCTTTCATCATCATTAGAAAATAGTTTGGTAGGATTTAAGATGGAAATCAAGGTGTGAGGATGCAAATTGACTGAAGTCCTAAGCATTGATCTAGGTTTAATTTCATTCTTTCACTTTTCTTGTATTATCTCAAAACTAAATCCAAGGCATTTTGTAATACAGATCAAGTCTCTCTTGTCAGGAAATCCAAAATCCTTTCCCCTTCCTTCCCCGCTACTTTGCTAAAACATCAGAAAGTGTGCTGACAGTCAGGGAAGTATATTGGGATATCTGCTTTTTACAGAGGTTTATATAAACAGAGTCCTTCCTCCCTTCTCCTTCTTCTCTTTTCCCCATTAGTGCTTATTGAATCCTTTGTGGAAGCATAAAACTCTTAGTGGCTGAAATTTCAACCAAATACCCAAGTTGGTGGCACTCGATAGATTGCAAGTTTTACATTTATCAGTAGGGGTGTGATGATTACAAAATGGAACATATTTTCCAGTTGAATCTAAAAGCAGTGAAATTCTTCCCAGAATTTCCCATGCTATGAGATCAATGAATGCAATGAGATGAATGCAAGGCTGGGGTAAAAATTGCTGGAAGAAACATTAACAACCGTAGGTATGCAGATGATACCACTTTGATGGCCGAAAGCGAGGAGGGGCTGAAGAGCCTTCACCATCAAGGTGAAAGAAGAAAGCACAAAAGCTGGGTTGCAACTAAACAAAAAAAAAAAACCAAGATTATGGTAACCGGACTGATTGATAACTGGCAAATAGAGGGAGAAAACGTGGAGGCGGTGACAGACCTTGTATTTCTAGGGGCAAAGATTATTGCAGATTCAGACTGCAGCCAGGAAATCAGGAGACACTTACTTCTTGGGAGGAGAGCAATGACCAATCTCGATAAAATAGTGAAGAGTAGAGACATCACACTGACAACAAAGATCCACATAGTTAAAGCAATGGTATTCCCCATAGTCACCTACGGATGTGAGAGCTGGACAATAGGGAAGGCTGAGCAAAAGAAGATAGATGCTTTTGAACTGTTGGAGGAAAGTTCTGAGAGTGTCTTGGACCGCCAGAAGATCCAACCAGTCCATACTTCAGGAAATAAAGCCTGACTGCTCATTGGAGGGAAGGATATTAGAAGCCAAGATGAAGTACTTTAGCCACATCATGAGAAGAAAGGAAAGCTTAGAGAAGACAGTTATGCTGGGGAAAATGGAAGGAAAAAGGAAGAGGGGCCGACCAAGGATGGATGGATGGGATCCTTGAAATGACTGGATTGACCTTGAAGGAGCTGGGGGAGGTAACAGCCGACAGGGAGCTCTGGCGTGGGCTGGTCCATGAGGTCACGAAGAGGCGGAAACGACTGAATGAATGAACAACAACAACATGAGATCAAATCTTTGACTGTGTTTTAGGAAATCTTTTGTCTGCTTAAATATAAAAAAGGTCACTAGGAAAGAGGGTGGGTCAATTTATCTCCTTCGAAGATGAATATTGGCAAAAATTGTGAATATTAATAATTCATGATGGTTACAGTCTTATATACTACAGGCAAGCAGGGCCAAGGTCTCCCACATTTTAGCACATTTTGTAGTCAGATGGCTTCTAAGGCAGTTACTTAATAGGGCCTCAGCTAACAATCTGACGTTGTAGTGTTCTCAAAAGGCATGCTGCTGCTACAGTACATCCTGAAGAATTGAATTCATTCCTGCCATTGACAAAGAAGAAGGAAGTGTCTTACTTTTCCCTTACAGTCAATGTCTAAACATATTCTGATCTTTGCTTACTGTTAACACCAGCACAGTTGTACATGGGTGTTGTGGGACCAAGGGAAACCTACTTTGTGTGTGTTTTGCTTTTTCTTTGTTAGTTGCTCCAGGTTTTTTTCTATTTTTCATAGTTTTTAAACTGACATATCTCCCTGGGTAGGGAGAGGAACATTTCCTAAGATAACTGACAAATTGTCCCTCTCTTGTCCATGTGGGAAGAATATTCTCAAAAGCAGAATAACTTCCTGCCACTCACTGGCACAAAAAAAATATAACAGGTATATTTCTTAGCTTTGATTAAAAATGTGTTTCCTTGCTCTCTTACCACTTTTAGAATAAGATGAAGTGGTTTTTAAATTAAAGAAGCACATGTTTTAAAAGATTAGACTGCCTCATAATAACAAGTGTTTAAAAGATTAGAGCGTCTTAAAATAAGTCCCTTATATTATTGAAGAGCTTGACTAAATGTTGCATCGCATATCTCAGTACCCATGTCCAGTAATTATACATTTTCCCAAACATGATTACTTCACATTAAATGGATTAACAGTTTCAAGAATTTCAGGTAGATTTGCTTCTCACCATTATTTGTTTGTATATATTTAATTATTTTGCAGGTGAGTGAGGTTTCTCCAAAAAAAGAGGCCCCCGTGCATCAATGTTTTGAATGTAACCAAACATTTTCTTCAGCTGCAATGCTATTGCAACATAGCAAAGAGGTCCATGGAAAGGAAAGAATCCATGTTTGTCATATTTGTAATAAAGCATTCAAGCGAGCAACACACCTTAAGGTATGTGATATAGTTAACATACTACTATTATGAAAAATTGCGCCTTGGATACAACATTATTATTCATCTTAATTATGAAGCTCTGCTCTATCCAAATTAGTATCTTTTCTATAAAATCAATTTTTGTGATAACTCTAAATTGTCTAGTGAAGCTAGAAAATTCATAGAGAAACTCATATTTCTTGGGCCCCTTCCACACATCTGCTTTGAACTTGAATATATGGCAGTGTGGACTCAGATAATTCAGTTCAAAGCAGATATTATGGGATTTTCTTCCTTTTCTGGGTTATATGGCAGTGTGGCTGTGTCTCCTTGGTCATGAGCAAGTAAAACCATGGCATGGGTTCTGTGGTTATTGGAACACCCCCCCCCCTTCCTGCAATACTGTACTGGGATTCCATATAACTGTTCATACCTAGCACATAGATGGGCAGGATTTTTCTTCTGCAGGGAACTCTTCCAAGGGGGCAGGAAGGACTAGTTATCAGTTAGTTTTTAAGCCTTTCAAAACGATCTGGTTATTTCTACCTTTTTGTGCAAGAAGACATCTAGACTTATATTTCTTAGGAAGACTTTGACTGTTTAATCTTTTCAGTGTGCTTAGTGTGCTTGTTGCTGTGCTGTTCTTTTACTCAATATTGCAGAAGCCTGCCGTGTTTTATTGTGAGAATTATCTTAGTATTTAATCCTCAAGTGTAAAAAGAGGACTAAAGGTTCTTAATGATTCACATAATTAGTTCAGATGCAAAGAGTATTGAAACCAATCTCCAAGAAGCTTTTCCAACAGCTTCCTGAAATTTTTGATTTTTCCAAAATTTCTTAAGTCTAGTACCTGGTCCAGAGCTGATATATCTTGGAATAGTATTTGTTTTTTTATTCCCACCTTTCCTACAGCATGGGATTCAAGGCAAATTGTGAAGTTCTTTCCAAGAGAGTTCTGGAATTTTATGCTGTGATGTTTTTTTCGGAAAAGAGCAAAGTTGTTCAGAAAATAATTATTGATTGTTTTTTCATGCTGTATGATGATTTTTGATCGTTTTCTTTCTTAAGGGGGATTTACTGCTAACCTCATGCCATGTTGATTTCACAAAATGATTGACTATTATTTAGTACTCATCTTGAACTACATCTCATATGTAAAGTCAAATGTTTGAACGTCCTCTTCTGTTGTTTTATTAGGAACATATGCTGACGCATCAGGCTGGACCATCAGTAAGTTCCCAAAAGCCAAGAGTATTTAAATGTGATACCTGTGAAAAAGCCTTTGCTAAGCCAAGTCAACTGGAAAGACATAGCCGTATTCACACAGGTAACAAATTAGCAATACAATTGATTAGCTGTGATTGAGATTATAACGTAAATCATAAATGGTAAATGGGAGATAATGCTTTCTTACTTGAATAGGACTGTTTAATTTTTAAGGCCATGTAGATCGATCTTAACACCATTTTTGCTGTTTTGATATGATTGAAGAATTACCAGATCATTGTGGTCTGTGCCTATTGCTCAATCTTACATCTTAGAACTGAAATGTACAGTTATAATTGTTTTTGACTACTCAAGTGCAAGTGTCATGTTCCAGTGGAAGGTAGAAATGCTCTTAACGGGTTTGAGTTTTCCTGTAAGTTAGTGATAAGTTTATTTATAAAATAAAACCTAAACAGGTACTATTGAGTGGAATAATCAACACCTGCTATCAAGGAGTGGAAAGAATATTTCAGAATATTCCAAAAATAATAAAAAACATGTTTTCTGAGTGTTAAGAAACCCTGATGAGAAAAATCTTGAACTCTTTGCACAATTGGCAAAATTTGCATATAGTTATTTTGTGTAGTAAACAGGAAATATTTTTTTATTGTGGAAATTATATTTCAACACAAAACTTGCCTTTTTTGCAGAAAATGCTGCAATTGAGAATTTATTCTGTGCAAAATTCACATGTGGCTGATTGACATAGAAGACAGCATTTTCTTTAGAAAAACAATCAGCATTTTCTGCATACAGGTATTATTTTCCATTAAAAAGGTGTTTCTGCACAAATATCCATGTGCAAATTTTGTGCAGAAATGCAATTGGCTTTAGAAATTGTATGGTTTTTGAAATTTCATAAAAATATTATTTTGATAAACTTAGATTACTTCAAGAAGCAACTTAGTAAAGAATTACATCCCTACTTATGTTTCTTCAAACAGTGGTGCAACAAAACTATGCCTTTTGGTCTGTGCTTCATCAGATCCGCAAAGGGGTCTGTGGCCCAGAAAAAGGTTAAACTCAATCGAAATAGCGTTAATCCGCTTGATAAAACCCTCACAGTTATTGTTTGTGTGCTACAGGTGAACGACCATTCCAATGTGCACTGTGTGAAAAAGCTTTTAACCAGAAGAGTGCACTGCAAGTTCACATGAAAAAACACACAGGAGAAAGACCATACAAATGTGATTATTGTGCAATGGGATTCACACAGAAAAGCAATATGAAGCTTCATATGAGGCGAGCCCACAGCTATTCTGGTATGTAATATTAGCTATGTGAATGATATTTATTTACCTTTTATTATTTTAAACTAGTATTTAGAACACTTTGGAGTTTAAAACAGCATTTTTGTTTAGAGCACCATGTTCTCAAGGCTCATTATTTCCAATACTCTTGCCCTGAATTGTACTCGTTTTTCTACTTCTTTGAGTTCAATCAAACTCTCAGTATCTAGGGCAGAGTGGGGAGTCTATGGCTATCCAGATATTATTAAACTCCTATTCCAGCTTGGCTAGTGACAAAAAGTAATGGAATTCTGCATGGATTAAATAGTAATTTCTTCTGCTCATCATATTCTACAGACATAGTTTGTGGGCTGTCAGTTAATCATGTTTTTAACAGGAAAACAGATGTTACAGTTATACTTCTGAGGCTGGGAACAGCAAATATAAATTATACGTTTTTCCATCTTTTGACTGAGGGGGGGGCAGATGTGAGGAACACATATAAAAAACTAAGTAATTAATAAGCAGATATATAAGCATCATATGTCATTTTTCTGGACATGTCCTCTTTTTCAGAAGTAAAATTTCTGCTTGTATTTCTATTGTATTATTAAATATCACTAAGTAATCAATTAAAATTGTTATACAGTGAAAGGTAGCAATATTTCTAATAGCAGTTGTCATAGCCTATGTATCATGGATATTTAAAATGACTTGTCGTAGAGAACTAGTAGTTTAAAGTACATATAATCAGTCAGAGAATGTGTCCTCATATGTGTTTCAAAATATGGTAACCTCAAGCAAACATGCAATAAGGCAGGTATGCATTATTTCTAATCCCAGATACATTATATACCACTAATTCAAAGCATATATTTGTGATATTTAGACAGGGAAATACTATTAACCTTATTTGGGATAACATAACATTTGACATTTATGGATTATTATTATTATTATCACCATCTTTATTTATATCGTGCTTTTCTCCCCATGGGGAGATGGATTCTGATGAAAACATTTTTGCCTTTTAGAAATCTAAATCAGTGTAAAAGCCTTCCTATATCATTAATCGATCATGAGAGAGCATTGTCTGTGACATTTTCTTCTACAGCCATCTCTAATTGTAATGCTGCCTTTCTAGTGGAAAACTTAATTTATATTTTTAGCAGCATGTAGAAACAAGGGTTTGCAAATGGTATTTTTTCCTGACTACAACTTCTACAATCCACTAGCCAGCATTGATAGTAATGACATCAAAGCGAAAAGGAAAAGAAAAAAAGTACTTACCCTTTCAGACATAATAAAAAAAAATTTATCTTGTCTTGGGAGGTGGGGTGAAGAGTATGGTTGGACAGGCAGTTTCCAAACCAAATATTTATGTATTTTTTTTCTTTATAAATAATTGCATAAATATACTGCTTTATAACAAAAGTTCCACATGACGCTTCCAACAAAAGTAAAAAAGAGTTGTATACAGGAATAAAACCTAATGTACCATTAACCTAGATTATAGAACCAATATACTAAAACTCCAGGAACAACACTATCCAGCACTTGTTGGACTTCAGAAATATCCAGAAAATTTATATTCTCCTGAATATGGGGTTTTGTCTTTGGAAGGAATGAAAACAACAGAAAGGAGCTTCTTTCCACTACTTCCAATAGCAGAAGCCAATGGCTGGTGTCAAAAGGCATTTCCCTTGCTGATTCCAAAATTCTAAATCTATCTCTTTCTCATACACAACTCCTTTGCTATACATCTTTGTTTTGGGCTTGGGGAAGATGGAGCAGCAACGATTGCCCTTGGCAAGCACCTCCCCAACCCAGAAAGAATAGTCATCTTTGGAGGCGGATCCTGTGAATAATGAAATCTGTCGATGTCAAATACACAAATGTTGTGAGATGATGGCATTTCTGTACTTGCAACAGATCCTGTGCTCTACCTCTTAGCATTATTTCTCTTTGTTATTATGCTAGGCACGGTACAAGAATCCATCAGCCACGAGGGACAGGACAATGAAGACATTAATCGTACACTGAAGTTGGAAGAAGTTGTCCAAGAATCTTCAAATGAATGGCAGAGCATAACCAATATTTTTTGATGATTACTAATGTGAAAGCTTGAAATGCTTTCAGGACTAGATTTTTTTCTACAAATAGATATCTGTGCATTTTTACAATTAAAACATAACATTTAAAATAATAAGACAATATAGCTTTTTAAATATTACAGAAACACCGAAAGAACAAATATTTTGTAAGCTTGTACAGTATTGTAGAAACACCAGATAACCTTTACTATATTGTCTATGATCAATAATCTCAGGTACATTGAAGTTGTTCATGTTTTGAATCCAGCATAAGTGTATGCACTTAAAAAAAAACCAACCCAAATACACCCAGCTATTCATATCAGTGAAGTGTGATTAGATGGTAGGCCACGTGGAAGTTCTACCAATCATGAGGGATATCTTAGCCTTTTGAAATATCTCAACATTTACTAGATGAAGTGCAGAATTAAGGTTGTAAGGCACACAATAGCCAGCATCCAAAATGTTTACTACATTCATAGAATCTTCTTCCATAAGTGGAACCAGAGAAAGTCCTCCCATACTCTTTTGGCCTACACCCAATGCCCTATAAATCTGCTCTGGAAGAGATTTGTTCATTGGGGAGGCCCTTTATTCCCAGAATACAGCTGCTATTGCAAACATCACATTGGATTTAGACTGGTTTTTGGCATTGGTGTTGCTGACATGTCAAACAGATGGAAAAATATTCATTATGTTGAGTGACTGTTACTAGTTATAATGGCTCACTTCATGTTCAGCTTCAAATTCAGCAATAATTATTCAAACAAAAAATGGCTAACAGCAACAGATGTTCCTTTTTCTGAACAGCAGATACATATATCTGTATAGGTCATATAGTTAACACACTTCAACCAGATATCTATAAGAACCATAAGCCATATAGAAAAGTTGTTAGGACTTACAAAACTTTGTGTTGGATTGATCACAAATAGACCAAGCTGCACCACAAATTGTATCAGCTCCCATAGGTTGGTCTCTCTTGAAGAAAGCCCCAAATTAATAAAATCTCATATTTGATTGTCATTCAACCCAAGAGATTTTAATTTTTTTTTAAAAAACTACCTAGGCTTTTTAGGATTATTCTGAAAAGTCCTTTCTCCTCAGAAGTTATATTCATATCAGAAAGGAAACCTGCACTGGAATAAAGCATATGTTCTGTTTTACACATTCCAAAGACAGAAGAATCTTGCTTGATTTTACTTTGATTTAAGAAATATTTATATGTTATATATATGTGTGTATGTATATATACAAATATTTAAGCCTCTGTGTGGCTGACGAGTATATTTTGTAAATAATAATCTGGGTTACAGGAAGCGTTCCAAAAGTTTTCAACTTTAGATGAATGCTTCAAAATCAGTATTGATTCATTTTATTGTAATGTAGACATGTTACAACTTTCTGAAAATAATTGCTTTTTATTTTCCCCCATTTCCCGAAAAAAGCTATATGTACATATAATTTATATTTTGTGTATTATAAAACTAGTAATTTCTATTTCCTGAAGGGGAAAAATCACTGCTTTTGATAGGACATCTCATAATTGTTTTGTTAATTATGGACATATGTATATAAGTAATATAGCTGATGACTTGAAAATGACACTTTTGTTATGTGGAAATATTTAAGTCAGACATATGTTAAATAATATTAATTTTTTTCCAAACTTGGTTTTGTGTCGGATACATTTTTCATTTTCGAAGTGTTAATTGAATTAATAGATGGAGAGAGAAAAATCTTAAGTGATATGGCTGGTGTAGAACAGTGAAAGTGCTTGGTCTTGAGTCTGTAGGTTTTGGTAGCATGGACATCCTAAGTTATGCTGTTTGCACCATTTTTTTCTATATCTGTTGCACCATTAGATATCTGTCCTTGTACCCAACCTTGCCTCCTTACAACATACTGTAAGGTAAGGTTTCTTAATTGGATCTGATTATAGTTTTCAGTTGTGGTGTGTAGCTCAGAATATTTTTAAATACCTTTTTGCCAAACAGTATCCTGTTGAATGTATTGTCGAAGGCTTTCATGGCTGGAATCACTAGGTTCTTGTGGGTTTTTTCGGGCTATAGAGCCATGTTCTAGAGGCATTTCTCCTGACGTTTCGCCTGCATCTATGGCAAGCTTCCTCAGAGGTTGTGACCTCACAACCTCTGAGGAAGCTTGCCATAGATGCAGGCGAAACGTCAGGAGAAATGCCTCTAGAACATGGCTCTATAGCCCGAAAAAACCCACAAGAACCTAGTATCCTGTTGGTTTTCAACAGAACAATATGGATCTTATTTTTGAATTCAAATAATGTAGAATACAAAAAACATGTCTATATTTGCCATAAACTTCACTTTCTCAGAACTGCAGTAGAATTATTTCTACTTGTATTGGCACAGCATGCTGAATTCATGCATTTGCGGTTTTTATTTGATATGCAATGTTTTGGAATTTGTTCCAACTCATGTTGTTCTCCGTAATTTCTCTGCTCAACATGAGCTCTTGAGAACTGACTAGTCTCCCTCCCAAACACACACACTGCAAGCATAAGACATAAAAATATGTTTTCTGTTGGAGTTGAGAAGTGTGTACAAAATTGTATTTCTGCTTTAATCAAACTGAGTAAGAAGGGATTTCCGTCCATGTTTCTTATTTTGAATCACAATTAAGTTCTTCCTCTGTCCCCTTAAAGACCTGATACAAATTATCTCTCTCCACGGTTTCTCTTACAGTTTTTTTTTCAAAGTAGCCATTTTCTTTTTTAACCCTACCCATTTTACTGGGTCCTCTGCCTCTTTCCTAAGACCTTTTTTGTTTAAAAGAAAAATAGAGTGGTTTCAAAAAGCAAAGGCATCCCAACGTAGGGACAGAAGCTGAAGTTCTAGCAGCATGTGGAGGTGCCACTACTGTAGTCTTGCCCTCCTTGCTCCTGAATGAAGTGAGTTGGATTATTTGGCAGTCCTCCATAGTACAGCTGTGATAGCCATTCAAGACACCAGAGGACAGTAGAGGGCAGTTAAAGTGCTTCAAAAACTCACCTGTCTCAGCAGAAATGCCTTTCTGCACAATGTTAACCGTGGATATACATTCTTCCTGTTTTAAGAATAGACTGTACAGTGCCCCAACCCCCAATGTAGAGGGGCAGTTTATTCAAAACCTGAATAATATTACAAAATAGCTTCACAAATGGAAAGATAGTGCTCCTATAAAAAGTCCCAAGTGCCCATCCTCCTCAACCTCAGTTTCCATTGTTGTTGTTGTTTGCCTTATACCCACCTTTCTCCCCGTGGGGACTCACAGCCAACAATGCCACACTTTGGTCATAGTTTTAAAAAGCATAATACAATTTTAAAAAATACAATGTAGGCAACAGTTAAAAACATTTCAAAAATACACTTAAAATAGCCTTTAAAACTCACATCCCCCCCCCCCCAATATCACCCACATTTCCGCAGCGGCATTCCCTTTATTTCTGCTGGCATAGATAGGTAGGTAGGTAGATAGATGATAGATAGATTAAATGAAAGTTGCTGTCATGAGTAGTAATTGCTCCATCAGCATCTATCTGCTTTCTCTGTCTGGGTAAGGGAAGGTGTAGTGGGAGAACGCAGCTGCAGGGCCTTGGGTTTTCACCGTCAGTTCTGGCCCTAACTGCCTCACTAAGTGTGTGAAGCCATGGCCCCATACCACCAAACATCACAACACATCACTCAGGACACTGGCTATCTGCTTGCATGGCACCCTATTCTGACATCAACAGAACTGCCTTCATGACCAGGAGCTTGCCTGGAGCTGTGTGGCTGGAGGGGGTGGCAGCAGCTGCAACACAGGGATTATCCTTCGTTCTTTGTGCTATTGACCATAGCTAAACGATGATGTCACCTATGCCCAGACTAGACAGTGAATGTCCTGATGTAATTATGTTTGAATGTTTTTTTCTTCTTTTTTTGGCATTGAATGTTTGCCATACATGTTGGAAATCACCCTGAGTCCCTTTGGGGAGATAGGGCGGTCTACAAATAAGGTTTTGTTATTATTTTATTATCAGACTAAATCAGATCCGATTTAACTTTCCAGATTGTTCAAAGCCATGGATTACTCCTTAATTTCCACAAATTGCAACGCTTTCCTTCTCTACTACAGCCTCATGTATATTGAAGTAACCCCACCCCATTACGTTGTCCCTTTATGTTGTCCCAACAAGCCAAGCCGTGATATAGACCTAGGTAGATGGTCCATCAGGAAGGGCTAAGAAGCTCCTCAACTCACTGACTCCATCCCCCCAAATCCTTGTCATTTGATTTCAGATTTTGGTGGAAAGAGAAAGCCCATCATGAATACTAGTAATAGACAACGTTGACAGGTCCATGCACCAGTTTTGTTTCTTTCAAACCTGTCAGGAGCTATATTAACATCTCCCCCCAACAAAATCAAGTGACTAGAAGTGTGCTTCTATTTTAATGCTCCCTCCATCAGAAGCCCTCTCCTTGTTGGAATAAAACAAGGGGAAAAGAGGACATATGTTTTGCTTTGATGGTGGATGTTGGCTTTCCTGAGCTAGGAGCATGATTCCTTTAGTTACTCATTATTTGGGGGGGGGGGGGGTATTGCAAAACAGGCAGCCTATTAGCCAGCCATGCTGAATCCCAGAGTGGCCAAAGTGTAGATCCTCAATGCTATTGCTTTGTTATTTTAGTTTTGCCTGCAAACCAGGCAAACCAAAATTGAACTTCAAAGTGGCATTTTCCCCAACCCTGAAAAAAACCAACTTGAAACCAAAAATGAAAAAAGGAAAGACAATCTGTCAAAATGATAACCAGAAGTGATATCACGTCTGCCACATTAAAAGAATGTGTGGCATTCTAGAGGAAAGCTTCCCACCTCACCCACAGTTCCCCACACTCCTGTATCCACTTAAAACTTAAAAGGTAAGTAACAAGTTTTTTTTTTGCTTCATGTTATGCCTTGGATTACGGATGGTTTATTTGTTGCTAAATTTAGCAGCTAGCACAATCCTAAGAAGTAAAAGATTAAAGAACTGAACTATGAGAAGAAACACTTCTGGTCATCCTCTCATCGCGTTCCTCTCAAATTGTGTTTGATTGAGCCTCCTCCTGCAGATGGTAACATCTGAAACATTTTCCTCAAAAAGTGTCTGCTAGTTGTTCTGTTTTACCAAGTGTTTTTCTTTCTTTTTCACAGCCTTTGCTACTGCCATTGGTTTGGCCAGTGTTAAGCTCTGTTGAACAACAGACAGGCAGTATAAGAATCATCATATACAGAAGGGAGTGAAAGTGTTCTACAAAGCTGTGTGTCTAATGCACAACTTAGAATCTGGAAAGCATGTGATAAATTAGATTGGTTGTTAATTTTCTTTTTTTTAACTCCTCTTAAATGGGAAATAAGTTTTTTTATTACAGAACATTTTATTTGTTGGCATGACAGATCTGGTACCATAGATCCTGTCATGGGGTTGCTGTGTTCAGAACAGAAAAAATCCCCCCCCCCCTCCCCAACACACACTTCTTATTTTACTTCTTATTTTAACAGTCTTATTTTAATCATCTATTAATTATCCCTTTTCCACATGCTCATTGCACACCCCCTTATCTTTCCCTTTTGACTTGCCAGCTCATAGCACATACCATATTCAGCCTGTCCCGGGTCTGCATTATGGTCTATTATATATGTTGGCTCTTTCTGTGGTTCTTCTTCCCACTAGCCTGCCTGCATCTCATAATACCTCTCTTTTTCTTTCTTTCTCCCAAAATATATGTTCTCTTGGTTTCTAAAGATCCAGTGAATTTAGGATTGCAACTTGGAATGTTGTTTGTTTTTAAGGGAACTTGTTACATTAGATCATCCAACAGGCCATTATTTGTTTTTCATGGTCTTTGTCATTCACACAAATGGGGTTTATTATGCCTGTGGTGCATCATTAGGAACCTCCTGATGTTTATGTGATAGCCCCTCCTCTCTAGAGCCATGTAATCAGGTTGATTCCTGTTCAATCCATCTGCTTCCTAGGCACCATAGCAGCTGTCAAGGAACTAGGAGAACAGGACATGTGTGGAAGAAGAGTAGGTGTTGTATGAGTTCACAGTTGATGGCAGCAGGTAAGCAACCTATCCTTTTCTCTTGTGGTCTCTGTGACTCACACAAATGGGATACAAGCAAGTTACTCCCAAGTTACTATATATTGGTTTGGATGGGGAGATGGGAAAACACATCTCCATTCCTCCTACACTTGAAAAATGCCCTGACTGTGAAGTAATCTATGATATAAGAAGCTTGAGCAAAAAGAACTCACAGGAATGTAGGATTGCTACCTTTTGATGACTGGAATATATTTTCTCTTGGGAAAGAAATTCTTTGGCACTTCCAGCCACTGCAAATAATTTCTTTTTTTCTGATCAGTATCTTTCTATATTGATTAAATCCAACATTAGTTCTACCTGAAACAAACCCAAAGAAATTGAGACTTTGATTGTGACTAACATGCCTAATTCATTTCATTAGAACACAGCTGTACCCTACTGGCTGCTCCTGCCTTTGCTGTTAAATTGTCATGAGTGTTGCTCCAGCACCAGCTTATGTGCCTACAGGGTTGCTGCACAAACGAGGTGTTGTATACCTTGTTCTGTGATGACCCTGAATGAAACATATGTAGGTATGAACAGA